CCTTAAATGTTTAAGCTAGATTTACGAAATTTTGCCAATTATCATATATATTAAACAAAATAATTGTTACGAATTTCAAATTTATTGCTACATTTTTTGGTATAGGGTGTTCAGAAACACTATTTTCCGATTGTAATTTATTGTCGGGCCGCCAAACCTTTAAACTTCATTGATAAGTACGAGAAATCGCATAAATTAAACACTTCAAAAATTTATAAACTTATTCTCAAAGTATTTTTCTCAGCGTGGAATTGTTTCCATTATTTTTGTCAAACCCCTGTATACCATAATTGTTACGATAATAAAACGGTTCAAGAAACTGTATCTGATGCAAGGAGGAAAAAAAAAGTAGAAGATTTGGGAGACAAAAAAATAAACAAAATTGTCTTTAATGCACTCCAATTATATTTACGGAATGAAGGTTAGAATTGGCAATCTGTTCAAATATATAGTTAAATACATATAAATCATCGAAGTCTATCTTAAGTTCTATTGTTTGTTTTGTTTAAGTTTGTTGGATTTAGACTATAAAAATATGCTCAATTATATCAATCACAAATCAATACAATTACTATTAATATGTGACTGGTGGAAATATGTATGGCCTTTTTCCCAGATTCACCTTTCTCATCTAGTATTGCTTCGAATCAACGCAACTTCGATGAGTTAGCCAATATTCCTTTTTGGGTTTTACCGAGAGTTTTTTTTAAATTTAATTTAACAGAGATAGTATCGCTTTACTTTTCTAAGAACTACCCCCCCCCCANCTAACCCCCCCCCCCAATGGAATACATAGACGTTATAATATAATTTCGACAGTTGATATCGTCAGTGCAGAAAAATGTCGCTAATGTTCACGCATAATTGATAAATAAGGGACTAATTTTAACGAAACCAAATGCTTTTTACACTCTTTGAATTTTCAATGATGTAAAGCAATGCATATCACATGTTTTTTTTTTTTTTTTTTTTTTTTTTTTTTTTTTTTTTTAATCAATGGTGAAGCCCTACAACCAGGGCTCCTTTATTTAAACCACAATTTAAATCACTGAATTTTTTTTAACTAATATTTTTAAAAGAGAAATGATTATTTTAAAAATATACAAAGCATTTTAATCTAAGATTATTTAAATTTGTCATTGATTTTCAGAGTTTTACAATTAATAGTAAATATATTTTGTTTTGTTAACAACATTCAATTATCAGAAATACATTAGTATAAGTTAAAGAAAAAGAAAAAAAAAATACAGAACTTTTGAATTGACATTTCAAAATTTTATTATTACATAATTATTTTATGCTTAAATATTTTGTGAAATTAAATTTGTAATTTTTTTCATTTTTGCCTGTTTTTTTAGCAGATATTAATAATAAATCTTAATTTTATTTCCAATAATTTTGAATTGTGCATTTACATGCATTACTATAAAACAATTTTTAACACAGTTATATAGTTTTAAATACATTGCTATGATTTATTTTTATTAATATTTCAATTATAATCTATAATAATAAAATGAAGAGTTGGTTTGTTTGTGTGTGTGTCTCTCTCTTATAATTCCAGAATCATTTGTTCTATTGTCATGAAATTTGGTCAATTGGTAAAAGGAGCAACTTTTACCCACAATCCTAAAAATCGTTCAAAAATGGAATTTTCTAATTGGTTTAGTACTAGAGCCGTTGATATACATGAAACTACAGATAACTTTAATGATAGCTTCAGTGATCTCTGCTTTCTTATAGCTGTCATTTATCAAAAACGGAGTTCTTATATGTTTAATTATTTTTTTTATTAGTTACGTCAGATAAACTCAGCGTGGTAACAGGCATACTATGCCAAAAATTTAGCCTTTCCTTAGCAGGGTGTGTAGCCAATTCTTTCTACAAAAAATAAGCATCTTTTAAGTACTTTTTAAGCACTATATACATTAACAAAATGCAAAATAATTTTCTGAGACTTTAAATGATCATGATAAAATAACTGTTTTCTTGATTATATTAGCCATTATAAAATGATCAAGAGATTTTTTCAGTTCAATATCAGAGGGTGAAAAATAAAGTCTGGAATTGAGAATATTTTGTAAAATGCAGCAGAGTTGCAATAATCTCGCCGAACTCAGCTCAGCAGAAGCACATTCGGACTCGCAAGTATTTCACCAAACATGTAAAAAAATTGTCGCTTTCATACGCAACGGACCGATGGTATGCCGAAATAGATTGTGGTTGAATGAATTGAGAAAACGGTTAATAGAACAAAGTGAAAAGCACGTTTTTGCATAATACGTGGCAAAAATCAACAAGGCCAAGAAAATAAAATCTCATTTTGGAAAAGGGAAAATTAAGCACTTTTTAAAACCACCCAATGAAAAAAGTACATTAAAGTGCTTTTAAATAAAGAAAATCAAAAATAGGCACCTTTAAGAGCACTTTTTAAAAACACTATGCACCATGTTTAAAACTAAATAATTTAAAATCAACGGGATTTGAAATAACAAAATAAGGTACTGCAAAGGAAATTTAATTTAGAAATGGTTCTAAATTGTTTGAGAGAAAGATATAAAAAAAAAATCACCGTACAATTAAATGCCAATGTAGGAAGATTAATTTTAGTAAAAGGTGCTAAATAGAATGAAAATAAGCTACCTACTAAAGGGTTATTTAATGGAGATATAATAGTAATTCATGCAGGAGAAATATAGAAAATCACCATATTATTTTTGACACCACTGATGTTTAATTAATTTTGTTAATAGGTACCAATTAAAATAAAACCCAAAACTATAAGCCATGTATTAAAAGCAAAATTAATGAGGAAATGGTTCGAATTTTTTCGGGTAAAACTTAAAAAATTGCCATATCATTATTGACACCAACTATGCTTAATTTCGGTAATAGGTATCAATTGAAATAAAAAATCTATGCACCATATATTTTTCTAAAAATATTGTACGACATATATTTTTAAAATCTAAATTTATATATTTTTTATTTAAATTAAAATGTTAGTTATAGTTTCTATCCATTTCCATATTGCAAATTTTTGTATTATGAAAAACAAAAATTATCAACCAATAGACACTAGGATTGCCATGCACCAATATTTAAAATCTGCTGAAAATTAGTTACCTCTATAATTATTTTAAACAGCACTGTGCCATAGTTTAATTGGGATGCTCAACATTTCATATGCAATTATCTGGATTGAATAGTCAAAATCAGAGTCTACTTGTTAAACTTAAATAATACTGCATATTTCTGGTAAAAAAATCTAACAATGTTAATATACAGTCGGAGCCAATCTTTCATCACATATTTAACCTTTCCGCGACGAGTGTTTTTATTTTTTACAACAGAACAATTTTGGTAGCATAAACTATGAGTAGAGCACACTAGAATGCTAAAACTAAGATGTTATATTTTCATGCAGATTTTAAACACTGATTTAGGACCGGGACTTTGCTTGGGACGTAAGTGTCCCGTTAGGAGCGAAAGGGTTAAAATGGAATCAAATATTGCAACACTTTTTATTAAATTCGAAGTACATTTATATTAAGGTTAACACAATGCAATCATTCCATAAATGAAAAAAAAACAGCAGATGCATATAAAATGTTATTACCAGGCACCAGTTTTGTTACCAGTCTGCTACGAATTTCATAAAGATATAGCGGTACACGAACCCTAAACTACTATTTAACAGCACTAAATATACATATTATAAAAACGAGCAACATGTTCGTGTATATTATTTCTTTCCCACAAAGTACCTTATAATTATACTAATCTTTAATCATTACAGGAAATACACAGCAATAATAAATGAATTTAATTTTAAAATTGACTCAACAGCTATTGTTTCACATACAAGAAATATACTTCTTAATGGATAATACAGCGAAACCCGATTAAAACCTATGAACATTAACTTATCAGAACCGTGTCAATAGACTGAAAAAGAAAACACGCAGGCAATTCTTAAACCGTAAAAAAATACTGGTGCAGTGAATTCTGAGTAAATTCACATCAGGCAAACATGCTTAAATTAAAAACAAACACTGGTGAAGATTTCACACATCACTTCGAAATTCGTGATCCCTTATAACGACCAACCACCATTAACGACTATTATACTGTGGAACAGAGAGTGGTCACTCGCGAGAGGTTTCACTGTATTACTATACCGTCAAGAGAAGATAAAGATGGAAAATACAAGTTAAAATATTGCTATTGAAGTAAACACAAATGTGTGCTTCTAAAATATTGAACTTATAAATAATTTATGACAATTTTAAATAAGTTACCACATGAAAGTATAACACCATCACACTTGTATGAAACAACAGTGTTACCATAACAAGCTTTAACTACTGTTGGTTTACATGCTTAACATATTTTTATAAAACTAGATACATAATGGCATAAACATGCAGCAAATCAAACATAGTACAGTTATTAAGCTAGCAGAGTAATATTATGAATTAGCTTAAATAAGACATAGTACGAAAACATAATAAAATAACACTCAAATGAAGGTAACCAAACGTTTCCTACAATTCCTCGATAACAAGTCCTTTATTATGATAAATATTGTGATCTTGTAGTGCAACATTTTGAGTTAAAAGAAAATTATACATTAGACGAGAGTGACAAGTAAACAGTGAAACTAATTAAATAAACTGGGGATTCGATTTACTCCAAAGAGTTATTCGTTTCCGCCTTGTAGAATGCGATAATAACTAATTAAGTTGGGAAATAAAATCTGTAGTAGGTAATTTAAGGTAGCAGTTTCATTGCAAATTATTCAAAATGACAATGGGATAAACAGAATCAAAATTACTGGTAGACGAAACTAATGGACGAGGTAATGTTATTGTTTGTGTCAGCGAGAAAGTATTAAATTTTCGAGAAAAACACAACTGAACCAAACTTTATATACTATAAATAAAGTATGAGAGTGTAAAATAAGAGATAAAAGTAATTTTTTGACAAAACAAGCTTACCTATGCCGGAAAACACGCCCTCAAATGCTCAACAAGATAAACTTTGAAGAGCAGAATTTACCCACCTGTCATGTGTTCTATTGCCAAATTTGGTGTACGTAATTCTAGTATCATCACTAGTTTTTGAAAAAACTTTTTCTTTCTGAGCATTGTATCAATATTAATTTTATTAAAACTTATTTTTAAACACCGAAGACCCTTTGTTTAACGAAAAGAATCAAAATTAGAAGAGATTTGATTCTTAATAAATATTCCCTCTGTAATTCAAAGAATTTACTTTATCAGAGTGGCAACATTTAATAGTAAATATAAACAAAAGCAGACGGAATTACATTTTCTTTTTATTCAATTTAAAAATCGATTCTTCTAAATTTATGCAAATGTGGATTTTCGGATATGGCTCGCTTATGTGGAAAACTAATTTTCCGTACGAAAAACGAGAAGTTGGTTACATTAAGGGATTTATAAGAAGATTTTGGCAAGGAAGCGAAGATCATCGAGGAGTTCCTGGAGCAGTAGGAATCTAAACATATTTTAGAATAAAAATTTTGATTATACGTATAAAAAAGATTTTAAAGAAACTTTATCAATATTTTCTTTGCATTAGTTTTTTCAATCAATCTTATTAAATATATTAATTCTTAATACCATAAATAATTTTTATACATCTTAAAAATGTTTAAATAATTTATTAGAAACTTTTATTAAAACTCTTTTAATTTAATAAATTCTTAGTTTATAAAACAATATTTTACTGATAAGAAATCCTTCAATTTGAAATATTATTATATATTATAAACTGATAAAGTATATATAATATTTATATTATATATACTTAAGTTTATAATCATATATACTTTATAAGTATATATAATTATAAACTTTGAAGGTAAATATCCTGAAAGATTCAAGTTTGATTAATTTCTTTTATCATAAAAGAAACAAGGGTACTTGGAAATGGAGACTTAAGGATAACTGGTGCGAAGAGGACAAGTATAGGGTTGGATTGGCATTAGACCCTAGTTGCCCCTCTTCAAAGATCCTTGGTACCCAATATTCCTTTAAACTTAAAAGCAAGCAGAAAAATTAAACATAGTTTTTATAACTTACTTTGTGATTTCTTTCATTCTTATTACAAATAAAATACTTTTTATAATTAATCAAACAGGAAACTATTTAAATTACTAAAGGAAACTATGTCGCACCCTTATGTAAATGTAAGGTTGGAGATTAAATATGTACTGCTCCCAATAAATGTTCAAGTTTAGGTGGGTGCCTAAAAAATGAAAAAAATAAAGAAAAAATTAATGTGAAGGCACATTTTATCTTTGTATGTACAAATTATAATATTATATTTTGATATACAAATTATAATATTATATTTTGAAGATAATACCGTTATGGACCAACATAAGTAATTCTAGAATTCGTTAATACAAATTCAATTTTATAGAATAGGAGGTCAATTAAAAAATTTCTATGTTAATTAAAAAAGAAAGTTTTTAAAAATGAAACATAAAATATTTAGCTTTAAAAAGAAAGTTTAAAATTTCTAATCAAGTAAGTGAATAATAAAATCAGAAAGATTTTTTATATTTCTGGGAAATTAAAAATAGATAATTTTTAGGGGTCCCATACTTCTAGTCTGACCCTGGACAAGTTATATAAAAAAAACATTGCTATGTTACAAAAATTTATTAACTAGAAACAAATGTAAAATTTTACTTACATTCACTTATACCTGTCTTTTATCCTTTTCTTAGAGTTTTGCATTATGCAATAAACATTTAATTCCTATTTTTTACTAGTTCTTTATGAGTTTTTAAATTACTAAGTTCATCCCCTTATTCTGTAACTACTAATACAATTTGCTTGCTATTAGCACTGAATAAATATGATATTAACTTTGGTTGAATAACTTTAGAATCAGTTAGTAGAATTTTAAACTTTAAAAAAAAAAACTATTTAGAATAATTGTTTTACTGATTATTATTACTATTAGTGCATTCCAATTAAGGGACATATAATTATGTGTGAGAAATTAGTTGGGAAAAGTTATTCCATTTATAATATTTAGCTGTGTACATCATAAATATATTATTAATATCATATTTTAAAATAGCATATTAGTATAGCTGTTGGCTATGTACCACTTAAGAGTATGATGTTGATTCTTCATAAAAGTAGTAAAATTTGTAAAATCCATATTGCATTTTTTAAAATTGTATTATGTCAATTTTTATAGCTATTTTTAAAGTTGAAGAACAATCATTAACAGTCAGTTTTTGTAACTTGTAATTTAAAAGTATATATGCATGTCTAAGAGCAATAAAAATAATACATTTCTTTTTAAAAAAAGGAAAATGCATTAAATTTAATAAAGAAATAAAACCCAAGGCACTGTTGTAGGTGAATTTTTTATTTACTTTATAACAAGCAACATTATATAAAGATAATTATTATTAAATAAATAATTATTATGGCAGAACACTTTTATAAAAATAAATTAACAAAAAGAGTAAAAATCAAATATTTTATATTTGATTTTTATTCTTTATAGACCACTATTTTAAATTTTTGTGGAACTTTCCCCATTAGCAAAATATTCACTCTTTTCCAAAATAAGGACTGTGATGTAAAATTTTACATAAATGCATTAACATATGTTATACATACGTGTGTTGTATAAATATATTTAAAAGTGCATAATATTTTTTATTTGAATAAACTTGAAAAATTTCTAGTCTCACATGAAATTTTTTAATTTTGGCAGGCAATAAACTGGAATAATACACTTTTCTAATTATTAGTATTGAATTTTGAATAATAAGTTTCAATATCCTTTTCTTTTTTATCAAGACAAAATATTGTACTCAATAAAACTGTATTTAAAAAACTAAAATGAATACTTCCTAATATTTTCAATTAAATTTTTCTTTTCTAATAAAACTGTCACATGGAATTTGCATTATATCTTTAGGCTAAATTGTTTCCTTATTATGTTTTTATACTGTATTATATTATATCATATTATATTATTATGTTTACATTATATTATTGTTATAAACTTCTCAACTTAAAGCTTTTTTCATTATTATTTACAGCCTGGTCGAGTAGTTACAATTATTCAATCATCTAATCAAAAGGTAACTCCTTTCTTTGAATATTATGTAAACAAATATTAAAAATTTCCAATAATTTTCTATAATTCAATTTAGCCTTTTGACAATTCTGCAAGTAGAATGCCCCATTTCAAATTGGAATCCCCCCCCCCCCCACAGCCAAACCAGTTTTCTCATGCTATTAAATAAAGAAATTATTTATAGGGAAGAAACATCAATCCAGAATTTTTCTACTTATCAAATAGCCAGATTGTTAAAGTTTTGAAGTGTATATTACATTGTTTACCAAGATTAAAATCTGAACATTTCAGTTCATATGAAATCTTTTAAATTTTTTCTTGTCCTGGTGAATAGCACATTGCACACTTAAAATATTGTTTACTCAACATAAAAATTGAATATGTAATTGAATTTTGTGAGTTTATTTTGGCACTGCAGTTTGCATTGCACAGAACGAGAATCTTCCTACATGAACACCATGCATCATAGATAGTTAATCCATGTAACGAAATATTTAAATGTAACTGTAAAAAAAGAAGAAAAATATCATATACGGAGATTAGTATTTGCAATGTAATATTCAAATTCAGGTTTTTATTCACCGATAATTATTTTAATCAACTGCATTAAATCAACTGCATTTTGTAACAAATTTTTAAAGTTTTTCTTTCTTTTTAAATTCAGGATCAAGTGTATGGAATTGCTTACAAAATTGCTGAGAAAGACATCTCCTTTGTAAAAGATTATTTAGATTATAGAGAAAAGGATGGATATCAGCAGAAAACAGTTACTTTTTATCCATGTGATGAAGATTTGAAGCCCTTTAATTTATCAATATATATTGGTGATACTAATAATCCTTTCTATTTGGGTCCAGCTCCTTTAAATGTTATTGCAAAGCAAATCTCTAAATCTGAAGGTCCAAGTGGTAGGAATGATGAATATCTTTTCCAATTAGCAGAAACAATGAAAAAACTTTTACCTAATGTTTATGATGATCATCTTTATGAACTAGAAGCTTTAGTAAAAGAAATGAGGGAAATAGAGAGAAATTTGTGTGTAAATAAGATTTAAGTATTACTTTAAATAGGAATGGAACTATATTTATTTTATTAAACTATTTAATTCATTTTTCATGTAAATTTATTGCTTTTTTTCATAAAAAAAATTTCATTTTGGACATTTTCTAACTTTTATCAACAAACCTTTTGTAAATATACATTTTTAAATAATAAGTAAAACTATGACTTTCAAAGTTCAAATAGAAAACTGTTACAATGTAAAAACAATAAAATAAAAAACAACATCAATAAAATCAGTTTGGAAAAACAAATATTTCAAAAATCTTCATGGCATTTGTTATTTCATCAAATTCTCATATTACATTAAACAATTATCAAATATAAGGTTACCTGTCTAGCAATTAAAATTACTGTTTGTTTTAGGTAAAAATAATTTTTAGCTAACTTAAAAATTAACAGAAAAACTAAAATTAACAGAAAAGCATTTATAAAATACCTAAGCATATCATTTATAAGTGATATCAATAATGCGTCAGATCAATAAAAATAGATAAAATATCTTGTTGATTCCAGGTACAAAATTCACACTAATATTATTTTAATAAACATTTATAATGTAAAATGAGAAAGTAGTTGAAAATACAGTAGGGAACCGATTATCCAGAACGATCGGGACTATCACTATTCCGGATAATTGATTTTTCCGGTTTTCTGAATCGCTACAAAAAGCCGGTTTTTTTATTGTTAAACCCAACTAAAAAAAAAATAAAATTGGATATAATCTTAAAAAGAAGAAAAAATGATGAAGTAATACACTAATGATTATTTCCAAAATGATGGTAAGGTAAAAATCTTTCAAAAGAGAAAGAAAAATCCTAAAATCTTAGAGGAAAAAAATTTTTTTTTTCTTTCAAAAAATGACGGGAAAATTAATTGAATTTCGTTCCGGTTTTTTGGTTCTCTGATTTCCGGATAACGGGTTCTGTACTGAACTTGATTATACTTTACATGATTTTCTGTTATTTAAGTATTAATATTTGAATTATTATATAAGTATTAATATTTACAGTAAGTTTTTAACTATTTTTGTGATTAAATATACTTTTGTGACAATTTGCAATTATTTTCCTTCAAAATAATAATAATAATGATTTGAGGAATAAATTTTTTACGAGATTTTTTCCTATCACTTTTTATAGTGAATAAACTCCAAGATGCCTATTATCTGTGTTACAAACATAAATGTATGACTTTAACTTGCAATATGATTTAAAAATTGATGCAGTTAAGTTAATTAACAAATGTCCTTCTTAACTCTTTTTGATGATTTTAAAAACTTTAAAAAAAAAATTAAATCTTATGTATGTTTGATAATATTTTCAATTTATCAAACATACATAAGATTTCCTTTTTTGAATTTCTTATTCCTAGAAATCAATTTTATAAATAACTAGTAGCTAATACATTAGTATAATTCATTTCATACTTAATTATATGAATAAATAAAGTAATAATTTTGTTTTATAATACTATTTCAGAAGAAGAAAACCATTAATTTTTATAATGACTTTTTCATCCAATAATGCCCTAAGTTACTTTTTATGTTTGCTTTATTATTTACTTTCGAAATGGGTAAAGGAGGTGGAGGAGGTGGTGCAAAACAGTTTTGCTGTTCATTGCATTCTGATAGCATTATTTCCTTAGTAATTTTTTTACATGATTCTTCACAATTCTTTTCATTTAAAAGTGGTTGTTGATGTTTTATGGAATCAAACAATCCTCTCATCAGTAATCCATTTGGTTTAAAACTAATCTGAAACAGAAAAAAAATAAAATTATTGGTAAAACATAGAAATTAGTTACATTTAGTTTTGAAAGAAAATAGTATGTCTGCTAATTAATTACAATAAAATCTGATTAATAAAATTCTCCACTCTAACGCACAAAATTTTTCAAAATATATAATATTATCAATTTTAGCCTGAAAATTTAATATTTTCTTAACAGATGGGCCAAGTTCAAGATCTAATGCAAGTTCTTTCTTTACAACGAAAAATTTAATAATCAACCTTAAAAGAAAGAATTTATTTTCCTTAAACCATCATCAACATATTCTTCAACAGTTTGGATTATAACAAGGGATAGAAAAAGGTTTAAAAATTTTTTTTCGTAGCAAGAACATAATGCTATAAAATTTTTAAAAATCAATGAGTCAGTCTGTAGAAATACTAAGCAAGTTCACATCTTTTGAGAAAGCCCCTTAAAAATTTAAGAAGTAAGGGAAAAAAGGTAAACAAATTGAAAAAGCATAATATTCAGTGGAACCCCCTGAATTAACATTTTCTATTGGAGAAAGATAAAACAGGCACAATAAAGAAAAACGAAAATCAGGAAAAAATATATATATGCATATTTTTCAAAAATGGACACTTTCGTAAATGAACTAGTATTAAAAAAAACGTGTATTCTTTACTTGTTTTTGTTTATAGATACAATTTAAACAATATCCCTCTCATACTTACTATCGTTTGTTCAGTTTGCATTGGCAAATAAATAGTGTTTCAGAGTTTTTAGGCTTAAAAATCTATAATCAGTTGTGAGTATATCCTCCAATATTTTTTACTCATCTTCATTGTTTTCATCACTATTATCAGGAGCAGGCATTAAATCAGATATTGAAGGAATTGAAAACGGGATGTGTGTTGCAATTGGTATGCATGTCACCCCTATTGGATACCAAGAAGCCTGCTTTATTCAACCCATTTGTAATGCATTTTAATCGACACAGAAATCCAATTCAGAACTTCCAGAATATCAAAATAAAAAAATATTAAGAAAACAAATAAGTAGATTCAAATTCATTCAAAATATTTGAGAGTGGCTCTTATTTAATGAGATCTTTTTGATGATCTTTGAAAGAGATTGACAGCCTCTTGTTACAGTCAGAATGCACTAAAGACATTACTATCAAAGATTTAGTTTTGGAGTTAAAAAATCAAATTAAAAAAAGTTATTTTAGAAAAAAAACTCAGCATCTCAAACAAATCTCTTCCTTTAGAGTAAAAAAAAATTTATAGTATAAAATTAAATGCAAACTTAAACAAAAAACATAATTGTTTATTTATATTTATTTAAAATACTAGTTCTGTTGCTGTTGTTAATTTACGTCGCACTAGAGCTGCACAATGGGCTATTGGCGACGGTCTGGGAAACATCCCGGAGGATGATCCGAAGACATGCCATCACAATTTTGATCCTCTGCGGAGGGGATGGCACCCCCGCTTCGGTAGCCCGACGACCTGCGCGCGAAGTCGGACACTTTACGGTAGCACAGTTTAACGAGGACCAATACCGCACACCCTCGGTCCCTACGCAGACTGATACAAGTGGTCACCCACCCGCACACTGACTGCAGCCAGTGATGCTTGACTTCGGTGATCTGCTGGGAACCGTGTCTTAACGATCAGTCCACTGCGGGACAAAATACTAGTTCTATCATTCATAATTGGTAAATTTGTTTTTACACATAGTTATATCAGTAGGTATAATTTTTATTGCCACTAAATTCTATTCATCCATCCGGTTTTCGTGACGTCAACCCAAGTGGTATTTCCATAAGATTATTATTTTTTTTTGAAAGAATTATTGCTACAAACCTATATTTTATGATAGTTTAAACAATTTATTATTACATCCCAGCATGAAACTAAATTAAGCAATCATAATTTATTAACTACAGACCTAATTTAATATTTTTTTTTATTTGATAAATAGAGAATGACTCTAAAGCTAAGAAACTTTCAATTTACTAAAAAAAGTTGAAATCTATTTCAAATACATGGTAACATACTTGATATTAAATATTATTTTGTTACATTTTAGAACTTATATAATTATCAATATATTTGTCTTAGATAATTTCCCTGTTTTTGACTTTTTAAGCATTAAATCAAATAATATAATCACTGTATCAATAGAACATTTTATATTATATACTATTTTGTTATTGAAAAATATAGCAAGAAATAAATGAGATGTCCTATGAATAGGACATATCTACATTTTTTAAAAATATTTTTAGGTTAACCAATTAGTATGCAGGCACAAAAAGAGGTCTATATATGAAAAACTACTATCTGAAATGAGTGGAATACATATTTGTTTATACCAAGTCGATATTTCTTTCTGTTACTCACCACTTAAACTTTTAAAAAGTAAGGTGCCTTACTTCAGATCCAAATGTAAACGTTTGTATTATTAATATATTATGGTAGACAGACCTTGTTTCTGCAAAATTAGTCCTAGCAATGAAACATATGCGCTGAAACTTTTTTCTTTTTTGAAAAAATTAACTGTCTTTTTAAAAGGACGAATGGGTTAATTTTTAGTTTCATTTTTTTTTTTAAATATTGAGCTCCACTTATTCCAATAAAATTTAATACTTTCATAAACTAAAAATATATAAACAAAATAGTTAAAAAATATTATGCAAAATGGTAAAATAACTTCATAAAAATTTAAACCCTTTTATATCACCTGATGTTTGTTTCTAAAAAATTTTATAAAAGAAACTTTTTATTATTCTAATTATAATTTTAAAAAGGATAAATTAAAAATTAAATTCATACAGATGATACTGCTTCAGAATACTGGTAACCTAGATGTTCATAAAACCCTTGCTGATCTTGAGTGTTTAAATACACAGTGGTAAAATTCAAGCTGAAAAATACAAGACAAAAGTGCATTAGAAAAATGCTGGTTTACAATAGAATTTGTGATACAAATTGAAAAAGTTAAAGATAAATTAAATAATATAAAATCTATGAAATAAGTTATTAATTCTTCTATTACTTCAAGTGTTTTTTTTTTTAATAGAGTTTATAAATCACTAAAATTACAAGCATCATAATTCTTTAAAGATTAGTCGTTATGCTTTTTCTAGAGTATTACAGAGATTTGTAGATTTTCATATTAGGATTCTAAATAAGTTTTAAGAAGTGTAATCAATAGTTATGATTGCATGAACTATTAAAAAAAAATCAGCGCTAACATTTGTTTCAGCTGCTAAGCTACTTGAAATATTAAAGCAATTGAAATTCACAGCATTTTCCCCGCAATCTTTTAATTTTTGATAATAAAATAAATTTTTGTGATTTAAATAATATTCATTTGGAGAGATTACAAAACCTTTGTATAAAGAAAAGTAAACAACATTCAGAATTGTGACTATAAAAAAACTCATTTTATTAAATTATACCTTTTTCATGGTTTATAAGATTTTTTAAAAAAAAAATCAAATAACTAATTTTAATTCACATTATAACTCATTAATATTAACATATCTGCAATTCTTTTTTAAATGTTTCATCAAAAACATAGAAAATGTGGTTCATAGCTTATTTCAATATTATGTAATATTGAAGCTCCAGCTTATAAAACTGTCTCTATTAATTTTCGTATCAAAAATTCCTTTTGTAAAAAATCCATTTCTACAGCATAATTTCTAGGAAAGAAATTTTTAATAGAAAGCTTTGAGCACTGCATCGTAATTTGCCAAATACACATGATGTTGGATGAATCATTTGAAAAGATACATATATCAGAGATACATATATTAACAACCAAAATCATTAGTGAGAGTTGATTTAATGCACTTGGATTATTCCCAGATTACAAATTCTGGACAAATTAACTATTAAAATACTTCCAAATGAGTGAGTTGATTGTTGCATATAAAGAAATTACTTTGATCAAGAGTAGCTTAAAAGCTAAACTCTGTTGTGTATGCTAAATAATGCAATGGCAGTTTTTTTTAAAAATAAATTTTAATAGCATTAATTAAACATGCAAAAGTTAATTACTTTATGCATTTCAGTACGTTAGAAAATATTGAACATAGGCATATAGAAATGAGAAAGGAAGTACACATATAATTAGTCAAAAATTAATTTAAATAAGTATTCCATTTCAAAATAAGTATAAATAACATTATTATGTCCAACAGCTTGTAATCATACAGGTTTGTTATACCGTGAAGTTTATGGATAATTTATTTCCATACTTAATCTTATTAAAAAGACAATCCTCAATGTTTACAAAATTTTACCATCAACAAGTTCTTTGAAATTTTAAGAATGTAACAGAATACAAGATTGTTTTTTATTAAAAGAAAAACTTAATTGAAAAGTGAAATATTAACTAACTTTTTGGCATATTCTTCAGATTTCTTCATTAAATATTTTCCATATCCTTTTCTTTGTTTTTCCTTAGCAATCACAACTACAAAAATAAATGTACCTGATATTACATAAAACATTAATTTCTTATAATGTGAATTAGTAAAAAAGACCATTTGAAATATTAATGTATACACAAGAACAGACATTAAAACTTTCTATAAACCAAAGAATAGCATTATACTTATTAACACATACATCATTAATTTGATTCATCTTTTTATCTAAAAATTAAAGTATTATAAAATTTTAATGAATCAATAAAGCGCAACTTCAGAAACACCATGACCAAAAGTTTTCCTACAACTTATGAAGCACGCTAAAAAATTTTATACTTCTACTTTAGTCCCAATTCTTTTCAGACAATTTATTGCAAGGTATATATAAGTTATTGCAAGGTTAAATGTTTTACTACTCATAATTTTTTTTTACTTATGTAGAATGAAGGAATTTTGTTAAATAAGTTCATTAAAGGAGAGCAACCGCACAAATTTTTCAGAGACTTAAAAGCTCAGGGATTGGAGAGAGATTTTATTTACAGAACTATTATATGGTATAGTGCGGCTTTCAGGAGAACTCCTCCAGACATCAGTCTCACGTTGTGGCAGGTACCATGGGTACGAGGGAAAGTCACTTTGAATAGGGGTGAATAGTTTTGTTGTGATCTTTGCATAGGTCAGCGTGAGTAAACCAATTGACACCTTCATTTCTCCATTTCACCCCCATTAGAAATGTGCTCTCGCTTGTTACCATAGCAGTAGACAGCCCAGACTTTTCATCTGGACAAGTTCTCCTCAAAGCCGCACTATATGATGAGATGTCCTCTGTCGATGACAGAAAAAGAGATCTGGCAGACCATGGTTTGTTTGGACAAAAGAGATTATGAAAAGGGTCAGAGAAAGGATACGACAAACGCACGAAGGTTTCTGCTTTTAATAAGGTGGTGGTCCTTCTCATACCACACATGTTTTCAGGAGTAATGCAGTAAACATTTAGTTGACCTTTTGTCCGAGAACGAATGCCCCCTCCCCAACATCCCTGATCAGAACTTTATTTTGATTGATTATAAGCTTTTTTATTTTGGTTGATCATAAATGCTCCTTCAACTGAACAATTATAAAATAACCAATTTTAGAAAATTCAAAAGTATAATTCTAAAGATATGTCAGGAAAAATCAATAAAAACCTTGGGCACTGCAGGTCATGGATTTGAAAAGAGACTTAAGCTCGTTAAGAAAGTAAAAGGCAATATTGTACCAATTGTGAGAAGTATTGTTCTATAGAACTATTATTGCAGTATTGTTCCAATTGTAAAGATACTCAATGATTGCTACCTTCATTTTTTGCAAAGAGTTTTTGTATGATATAGTTGGTACTATAGTAACAAAGCCTTGAAAGTATGTGAGAACTTATTGGTTCACCCTGTAAGAACCAGCATATACTGTCTATTGCTGTTTCTCATTCTTATTGTTTATTTCCCTTACATTAATGTATTTTACTTTAAATTTGGCTAGAAAATAAGGAATGTAGTTCTTATTTTTTTAAAAATAGAAATGATGAAATACTTTACCTGATCCTATCCAGCATCCCTTATTATCTTCTAAAACCCTTGTCAAACGACTGTGCCCAATCACACATTTAACACCATTTATTTCTTCAATTAGAATCACAGAATCTGGCAGTTCACTTGAAGTATTTTCTAACGATTGAGTTCTGTGAATATAAATGTAAATTAATCATGCTAAAAAATAAAAATTTGAATAACAGAAAAGGTTGAAAAGGAAATTACATATCAACTTTTAAAAAATCAGCAAATGTACAATCAACTAAACAAGTTTTAAAAAATAATAAAATTATTTTATTAAGTTGCAATGATGTTTAATATTTTTTATGACAACACTCAAATACGCCATCCGGGAAAAGATGTCTAGAGCATTCTCCTTCCCTCTCCTCCTCTGCTCAGATGTATAGAAATGTATTATGATCTTTCCCCTTTCTAAAATATTTTTTGCATTAAGATTATCAAAAATATTTTTTAACCCTTCCATGATGCTTATATTAGCATTATGTTTAATGCAGTTTTAAGTTCCTTACTGTTTTCGAGCTTAAAAAATTTGAATACGCTTGAAAATTAAGACAGGAACTAATGTACTTCCTACTTTTATGACTATCCACACACTAATGGTGAAAACATGCCTACTTCTTCCATGTGCCACACGTAGTCCATTTTGATAGCCAATACTTAGAAACAATAGAATTTATTTTCTTCTATGAAATGACAAGTGTTTCAAAATAATTTTATCACACATTAAAGTATTTTATTTTTTCTAGGCCCGAAGTTAAACCATCAAACATTTATAACTATATATCCACATTTTCCCTTTTCATAAATCATTCATATTTCATTTATTGTATTTATACTCTCTAAACAAATATATATAAAAATAATTTTATTTTTTACTTACAATCAATCTTGAACAAATTATTATATGCCATCAACATATTTCATTCAAGAACACAGTCTAAAACTGAAATTTACACCTTTTTTTTTTTTAATCAATATGATTGTTTTTCAAAAGAATCATGTTTATTTTCTACATTTAAAATAGTATTTAAAGCGAAATAACAATTGACGTTTTCTAGTTTATAGATTATTCTACAATTATGGATTATAGGTTGTATAAAATTTGAAAACACAATAAAAAATAATACTTAAACTAAAAGTTAAAGCAAAGTTTTTTATGCTTTATCGTCCCTAGACCTTTGATAATAAACAAAGATACAAAAATTTTTATAATAGAAAACAAAAGATATCTGCTTTGTGTTTGGATGAATAAAGCAAATTATAACTTGCTTGTTTAAAAATAACAAAATTATTTGTATTATCATAAGCTCTCTAGTATTAATCTTGAAGCAAGAAGTTAATTTATTAATGAAAAGTATTGGAAACACAAGTACAAATGATCTTAATTTTTCATTACGTAAAAGTTAAATAAAATTTTCAACAAAACCTGGCAGAAGAGCTTCTTTCCCACTGCTTATTTAATAAGTCAGCACATTCTTGGATATATTCTTTATTCTTATGAAGGTAAACAACAGAAAGGGAGCTTTCGGACATTTATTTATAAAATGTAAACAAATCGTCTGCTAAAACGATAATTCGATACCGATAAATATTGTTTCCTTAGAAGGAAATCTATTGCTATTCGTAGAAAATGAAGATGGCGCTTTAAAGCAATTGCAAGTTTCATTATTTTTCACTGTAACCAAAATGGGCTGCAGGTGGCGTGGAGCAGAACTCTCTACCTATAGCAACACTTCGCATGCTTTCCCCATTAGTGTGTGGGGAGTCATAGAGGAAAGAAGTACATTGGTTTCTCTCTTGATTTTCACATAGATTAAAATCTTTTAAGTTGGAAAACTATGTGGAACTGAAAACTACATTAAATATAGTTTTAAAGAAAAGCATCACGGAAATTTTAAAAAGCATTTTTATTAAATAAAAAGGAAAAATATTAAGAAAAGGGAAAATATCGTAGTACATTCCTATACAACTGAAAAGAGGAGGAGAGGGAAGGGAGAAGGGCTAAAGGCATGAAACCGGTCTCTCCCCAGATGGCGTATTCGAGTGTTGCGATNTTCGTCTTTTTTTTTTATTCTTACAAACTATTTGAAATCTAAAAATTAAAGACACCGACAAGAAAAATGCTGAGACTGAAATATTCCTTTTAACACAATGCTTATTTGTAATTGAATAAAAAAAAGTTAGAAAGTAATTCAAGCAGACAATATTTTACTCAAGGTAGCTATTATATTTACTATAATCTTAGTTAAATTATTTGTATTTCAATTATTTGTATTGAGTGATTGTATCTTTAAATTTATAACTTTTATTTCACTCTGTTAATTTTTTTTTTAGTGTCTTCAATATTAAATGTAAAGCAGAGGAGTAATTCAAACAGACAATATTTTACTCCTGGTAGTTATCATTATATTTACTGTTATCTTAGTTTAATTGTTTCTATTTCAATGAGTGATTGTATCCTTAAATTTACTTCACGCTGTTTATATTTAGCATGTTATATGTAGCAAGAATGACACACGACTGAATATGTGATGCACGCCTAGTAGCGAAATATGAACACTTGTAATAATTTTTTCAGTGGTTTTCCCAAATTTCTTTATTTACTCTTTTTCTTAAATACAGGGGCCCCCACCAGGGGGGGGGAGGTGGGCGCACGATGCGCCCACTTAAAGCTTGGGGGGGGGGAATTTTTACACTAAATAAAACGAATAGTTTGGGGGGGGGAATTTAGAATTTGCCCAAGAATGCGTCCAAGAGCTTGGGGGGATGGGGGCTGCTGCTTAAATATATGGAAAAACAATGCAAATCTTAATTTCTGCATTTAATTTTACAATTCAATTTTAATGAAATCATTAAAAATGGAATACAGATTAGTTTAATAGATGCCGTTAACCCTTAACAATCTGAAAACAGTTTGAAAAAACTCGACCCGGGTTTGCAAAAATTGTCTGATCCTACTTTGGTATGAGCCATGTTAAATAATACAATTATATATCAGTACTTACATTAAAATATAATTGTTTATTATTTTTATTTGATGATTTTTTTAAATGTAAATAATTGGCACGGTCGCTGCTGGTATATGTATATTCAATGACAAACAATCATCCCCTCTTTAAATTTCTTAATTTTTCAAAAAAGTTTTTGACTGTGTCAACCTTCATCTATCAAAAGGTACCTCAAGATAGAATCGAGTTAACATGTCTTATATACTAGCGATTTTGTACTTAATATTTGTAGTGGTAGTTAGTTATGCCACATTACTCCCATTCCAGAATTTTATCTGTGATAGAATTCGATGAACGGATACCACTAGTTGATTCATGCTATTTTTTTTATTTTATTTATGTCATATTTTGCTCATTATATTTTTACTTCATAGCATTTCGCTCATTATTTTTTCCTTCATTTTTGTGATAACAGCATTTTTTTGTTGTTGTTATTATTCTTAATTTTTGTTTAATGACCGGGAGACTTTATTTACTTCACCGTATTTATTTATTTAATTTTTTTTGAGCAGTTTATTTTTAAGTAAATCAACTGTTCAATGTGGATCATCCATCAATATTGGCAAGTTCTTATCACATCCGCAAGTCACCATTGTGGGGATTTAATTTTTGACTGTGTCAACCTTCTTCTATCAAAAGGTACCTCAAAATAGAATCGAGTTAACATGTCTTATATACTAGCGATTTGATATTTAATATTAGTAGTGGTAGTTCGTAATTTCTTAATTTGGTAATTCAAGTTCTTAATTTTTTTTGAAAAAAAGTACTTAAAATTTCTTAATTTTTGCTTTGTTAGAAGAGTGGGAGCCCTGTATATACTTCGTTTTTAACGAATTTATTATTTGATCAAAGATACAGCATTACAGCTTAAATATTCATTACAAAACAGTGTGTCTAACCCTTTGGCAGATTATTTTTCCGGCTTTCTGCGACAAAACTCTCTAGCACTCATATCCTTCTGCAAGATAGTTTCAATAATAACAAAGATGTATGTTACCGATCTAAATTATAAACAAATACTGTGTTTGCAGAGAAAAAAAAAGCATAATTATTTTCATTCAAAATGTCATTTTTTATTCTAATATTATGGTCGATATTATTGCATTTTGTTGGGGTCAAAACCGCACTAATTCTTTTTAATATCGCATTTTGAAAATCATCAAATTATAAAAAAAATAATTAAAAATCATGAAACCCTGGCTGTAATTACTGTAAAACAAATTGATTATATAAGCTCTTCATTCAATTCAGTTCTCAAAGTTTCACTAAATACTCATTAATAAATTGCGTTTTGTTCGATTGTATTCAGTTTTTATTTCTAAATGTTATTAATATTATTCAATGTTTTGCTTCCAGCTACAGTTTCAAGAAGTTTTGAGGGAAACAGGCAATAGCTTGCTGAAAAATTTGGAAAGGTCCTGACTACAGCCACTGATTTGGAGAGAGGAAAACCGAAGATAAACGACATCACAAATTCTTTGGATTTGGAGACGCAAGAATGCGTCGATATGTTTTATAAATACTAATAAAATATTCATAGCTATTTTTTGTTTCATTCCTCTGCATTCACATCTTTATTACAAAGCAAGTACAAATCAGAAGTGCAAATTTTATTAAACCCATAATATTTTATTATTTTTTGTGCCTTTGTGCAATATTTTAAATTACTAATTTTCAGTGACTGAATCCTGTCTAAAGATTAAATATGTATTGCAATTGCAAAAAAGAAAAATTAAGATGATTTACATACATGTAAAATGTGGTTATTTTAAAACAAAGCAATTAAGTCTTTAATTTCGATTTACAAATCATAGTGGAGCTGAAAATAGTTATCATGCTTTTGATTAATATTCACTTCGTACATTCCATCTACGATGCTCAAAAAGGGCAGGTAGGTATGACCATCTTCATTACCTATTTTATACTTAATCACTTAGCAAATCAATTTCAATTCATAAAGCTTGTAGAATTTAGTTGCAGATTTGTTAAATGCAGGGTCCAACTTTTAAAAGTAATCTTTTTGTATTAATTTGAATTGTAAAAGCATATGTTTCTGACACAACTAGTTAATACTTGAATTGTATTTGTTTGAGAATGCTATTGGATGCTTTGAAAGTATTACTCAAATACTTGCAGATATTTTATTCTAAGGCAATGTTAAAAACAATATGAAATCTATGCTCACTAGTTTCCAGAATGCTTATTATCTGGCAAACATAGAAATAGTTAAATTTTCTATTAAATAGGCATAGACTTAGCATGTAACTCTTCTCAAGATATCCTAGACAAATTTTGCGCAAAATAAATCTGAAGGTTTTTTTGACCCCTTTAAATCTAATGAATCGAATCAGCAACTGCAATGTGCAAAAGATGATAAAATACAAATTAATTAACATGTATATATATCCTACAACACCCGCGAAATGTTTTGTTCAAATAACGTATGAAAATTATCGATCGGCGTTCTGCCGCATCTTTAAATGCTTATTAATATTTGTTATACGAAAAAGGTTATGAAAATACTCATCGGCATCCTACTGTATTGCCGTGGAATATGGTATTTTGAAACTCGACATTTTACGGCGTTATTGAGGTATCGATCTATATCAATTTTACAATGTCGTACAATACAAAAAAATCTGACGTTTTTACATCAATCGATGTTTCGGAACAACATCGATCGACGTCGTAAGCGAAGTTTTTTCGAGATCGATCGATATAGAGTGCTACTTGGGTATACTTGGTATCCTTAAAAAAATGAATATTTAAGAAAAAATTAGTATTTTTTTTTATCAAAAGAAGAAAAAAAGTCAATTATTCCGGAATATGTCTTCCATAGATGAACAGAAACATGTTGGTGTTGCTCAAATGCAACAACTCCGAAAGTGTCAAAAAGTGCAGTCCCGCAGTGGACTGATCGTAAAGACACGGTTCCCAGCAGATCACCGAAGTCAGGCATCACTGGCTGCGGTCAGTGTGCGGGTGGGGGACCACTTGGATTAGTCTGCGTAGGGACCGAGGGTGTGCGGTATTGGTCCTCGTTAAACTGTTCTACCGTAAAGTGCTCGGCTTCGCGTGCAGGTCGTCGGGCTACCGAAGTGGGGGTGCCATCCCCTCTGCGGAGGAACAAAATTGCGATGGCATGTCTTCGGATCATCCTAAGGGATGTTTCCCAGACAGTCGCCAATAGCCCATTGTGCAGCTCTAGTGCGACGTAAATGAACAAATCAAATCAATCAATCAAAGTGCAGTAGTTTTTGAATATGCAGTAGTTTTTGAATTTTTTAGATATTTAAAAAAATAAAAATATTTCTCACGATGGGAATTTTTTCGGTTGAAGAAACTTTAAGGCGTCTCTTGCAGATAAAATACCAATTCTCTTACGATAGTCCAGTTTAGTCCTGCAAGATTACAAAACAATAAGCGTGCAGGGCAAGTCCTTCAATTCCAAACTGCCTTCACATGTGGGAGTGGACTGTTTCATATCTTTGCCGGTAAAAAAAGGTCGGGTATATATGTCGATATTTTTTTCTAAAACAGATACAGCAGACAGAATTTATTTTCGATTTCAGAATTTTGAAATCGAAAATAAAATATGGTCTTTCTAAAGATGAAATGCATTTAGACGCATTTCGACGCTTTATGTTTGCTACACTTTGCAATATTCATAGTTATTTTATATAATTTTTTATTTTTTTCATTTTCCTTCAATAGTTATGATTATTATTTTTCATTATTGTTTATTCATTTATTTTATTCATTCATTTATTTTATTTATTCATTTATTTTATTTATTCATTTATTTTATTTATTCATTTATTTTATTTATTTATTTGCCTGGACGTAGTTACAAATTTTACACAATTTATGTTAGAAAAAAGTGTTAATGTAGAAAATACTGGGTAATGTCCTTTACACTTAAAAAAAAATCATTAACGTAAAGTGTAAAGAATAATGGGCAAGTGTATATTGGAAAATGGCCTTTTATTTTTTTATAAAAGTATTAACGCAGGTAATACCGAGCTATGGCCCTTAAATATAAGAAAACACCAGAGTAAGAAACACTGGGTTAGAAGCATTTTTACCAATTGCGGTGACCTCACATCTGATCACCATCGAGGAAATATGGTAACCTGATTTTTGAAATACATTTTCCCACGAAAAACTAATCAGGTTTCTTTTATTCTCTTATGGTGATCGAAAGGGTGGCAACCACATTCAGTGAAAATGCAAATAGCGCTTTACCTTTAAAAAATTATCAGTATAGAATTGTGTGAAATGATGCTTCCCGGTTAAACTGGCCTCGTGTGTGCAGCTTAAGGGGGGAAATGAGCAACATTGTAGCTACCTACATGAGCAACATTCCAATTCTAGGAGGTGTTGAAATGAGACGCGTATTGAAGATAGTTAACAACAAACGAAACATTCAAGTTCATTGTTACGGTGACTCACTGTATTTAACAAAATCGGAACAAAATATAAAAAAACGTCATAAATGCCGTAATTGTCTTCCTTCTTCAGAATGTTTTCCTCTTCAGGTTTTGCCACTCGAAAAATGGGCGGGTTCACATTTGTGATTATAGTGATTATTTTCCTATAAATGTAACATTTGCAGACGCATATTATTTTTTTCCTGTTAGTTTATTTTCTCATAATAAAGGAAGCACATTTGGGCTTCATAAAATTACATAAATTTGTAGAACTTTCATAAGAGAATCTAAACAATATTAATGCTTTTATTAAAAAAAAAGTCAATTAAAGGAAAAATTAATGCAATTTTTATTGTACTTTTTTTAACTCGTTTTTTGATGATATGGGTGGAATCTTCATCAACTCCAATCGAATTTCACCAACTACATTAAAAATTTCACGAGAGAGAGTGCATTAGTTACTCGTGAATTCTTGAGTAGTACACTCTTATAGTGCACGCTCATCTCTAAAAGAGATCCGTTCCTGATGACAATTGAAGTTTCAATCGCATACTGACAATAACTAACAGAGTTCATCGTCAGCGAGAAAATTTTTGACCTTTTTTTCTATTAGCTCAAGTAGTTACAATTAAACTAGAGCTCTGTACACATGAAAATGTATGTCTCATTCGTTTCCCAATTATAAGACGTAGAATTTATCACTAATGGAAATTTATCGTCAAGTAAACTTTCGACTATTTTCCGACTGGAATTTCTATTTTAGCTCTGTGAGAATGCCTACCCAAAATACATATGATTCCTAAATAATTTAAGCAAAGTTTACTTCTAGTGTGTCTTATTTCGCAGGGCATGTTACTTTCGTCATAAACTTCTATCACCACTAAAGGAATCTCCCCCCTCACGTTTTTCTTAAGTGATATCACCTGTTTATTTTATTATATATTTCTTATTTTAGGTCTGACAAAAATTTTATTTTTTCTATTTTAACAGAAAAAAAATATTTAATTATTTTTAAAAATTCTTGGTGAAGAATATCTTTGCAGTACGACACAAAATGTTTAATTTTATCCACGACTGTACACTAACATTTTAGTTCTCTATTTATTGTATAAGTTTAAAATACAGAGTAGTAACAACTGAACCTCTGGTAAAAGTGATAGTCAACAATCAACTGCTAACAGTGAGAAAATTTATATCGTTTTGAAAAATTATGTCTGTAAATCCAAATATTCTAAAATGTTGAGTTATTTTTAAATTGCAGAAATCTAAGTGTGCAATGTTGATATTATTGCAATGTTGAAATCCGCATCATATTTAACGATACAATAAATTGGTTTTAATTAATATATAGGAAAAATTTAATTAATTAAATTTTAATACGGGATTATAATTATGCGTTAAACTAGTTAATTAAAAATTATTAGATACGTTTATTAATTTTACCAATTAAGTTGAGAATTTCAAGTTTCTCTTTGTTAATTTACGATAAAAATTAGTAATTATTTTAATTTTTGAATATGAATTTTGTCAGTACAATAGTATGGAGAAAATAGTTCGTTAAATAAAAAATTTTAACATTATTGTATTGAGTAAATGAAATTAAAACTAAAGTATTTAATAACTAATTAGCATGTTATTCGTTCGTAATTTTTCATAAATTTATTTTTGCGTTGCATGATAAAAGAAGTATTGAATATGTTGCTACAATCGAAGAGCCTTTATTTTAGAGATAATATAAAAGGAATTATAAATTAGGGCTAATTATTAGAACCCTTATCATAAATGAATGCAAAAAAAAAAAAAAAAAAAAAANAAAAAAAAAAAAAAAAAAAAAAAAAAAAAAAAAAAAAAAAAAAAAAAAAAAACATAAAGGGATCACAAATTAATATGTGAAAGAAGAAAAGGATAAATTAATGAATAAGATTACGAAATCAGAACAGACAAAACTATTGTCTGATTGCCGAAGAAACGAGACAGTTAACAGACAGAATTAATAGACACTCCGCCAAGTTCCTTTCGGCAATCAAACAGGTGAGCTTTTTTGTCTCCATTTTGAAAAAAACGTTCTAAAAATATATATTGAGGGCAGTGATTACGGATCATCCAGAATGTAACATGAAAATTCAAAAATATCACTAGATGATCTTATAATTTCAGTTGTTTTATTGTAATCTTATCTATTCATCTAATCATTGTAATCTTATCTATTCATAATAATTTCATTCATTAATGTCAAGGTTTTGCGCACGAAACCAAAAAGAAGCTTTTTCACTTACTATAGTTAAGATCCATTATTTTGAAAATCAGACAATAATCTGAAATTTTGTTCGTTGCATATTTTGATTGGCTTGATTTTTTTTTTTTTTTTTACATTGAAGTAGGTTATGAAAGATGAATATTGTGCAAGTTAGAGCTCCTAACAAATTTCTCCCTCTCCTGTAGAAAATCAAAATCTCCGGTAGTTCAAGACCATCTTAACCTTCAAAATAAGCTGAAATGAAGAGATTTTATAAAAGCTCTATGCATAATTAAAAGGCATAATTATGAAAGAAAAAAACACTGTGGTGCTCATACATTTTGTTTCCAAGTCACTGTTTTTGTAGTCAGTAGAGTGTTAGTTTCCAAACCAATAAAATAAATTTTTGCTTGACACATTAACAGAAGGTCTGCAGTACTATCCACAATTCTATTGCAAATGGGAAGGATATACAGGAATAGATGAAAAGAATTTGTCCTGAAGATTAACAAATAAAATTTAACATTATATGCTACACTTTGGGAAAGGGGGAATAAGATCTTTGTACTTGTGAAAAGTCGAAAGTTCAACAGGAAAGTACTTTTAATTAAGAATATAGAAGTAAGTAAGAATATAGAAGTAAGAAGTAAGTATAGTAGTAAGAAGTAAGTATAGTAGTAAGAAGAAGAAGTAAGAAGTAAGTATAGAAGTAAGATTTTTATAGTTGAAGAAGAAACAGAAGTAAATGTTACATTCAATAATATAAGTGATTACAGTTTTATTAAAACAGATTGCCATTTTATTCGATAACGTGCGTCATCCTGAAGAAACAGCTGATGTCAGAAACATTGATGTGAAGGTAAAATGTATTAGATTTGAGCAAACGGTGGAAAGATTTTAATACTGGAAGACCATCACTGAAAAAGGCGAGAAGGAATCATGTTTGGAAAAAAAAATGCCCCTGCTCCATTCAATGTAGGTTTTTTAACTTCCTTAAATTTGATTTTAAAACTGTAACTAAAGTTACAGGAAGAAATGAGTAAATAACAGAGCTTACTGTTTTATGTTTCATTGTTCATTACTAACAGTAGTTTTAGAGCAGTTAGTTTTGGAACAGTTAGTTTCAGAACAGTTAGTTTTAGAACAGTCAGATTTGGAACAGTTAGTTTTAGAACAGTTAGTTTTAGAACAGTTAGTTTTACAAACATATTTCATTTTTTTATGGCATAACGACTCAGTGTTTTTTCCCCTTAATTATTTCTTTTAATTATAGATCGAGTTCTTATAAAATCTCTTTATTTCAGCTTATTTTGAAGGCATTACTGTTTCAAAGAAGAGAAGGAATGTTATTTCAAGCTTAGCATTCTCATACAACTTTGGTAATTTTTTTCTTGACGATAGGATTTTTTTCTTTTTTCCTTTTCTGATTCCCTTTGATTTTTCTTTTCCTCGTGTTTGTAGAAACATATTTTATCTATCAGATGGTGTAGTTATTATTTTTTTAGCTATATGCTGTTTTAAGATAATTTGAATAAAAAAAAAAGAGGCGGATTTGCATTTTTTAAACGTTTGAATTTCTATATCTATTTAAAGCATCAATATGGCTAAAAAGTGCTGGATCACAGAGCTTGTCGTAATAGTGAACTTTAATGTTTAGTGAAGAAATTATTGGGGTGCTGTTGTTTAACCAAGATTTGCAAGTCAGAAAAACGCCAAAAAACTGACTCTTTCTCTAATTTTGACAAAACCTCTGAAAAGCATTAATATTCCATGGAAACGAGTGCATGTCCGTATACTAATAATATAGAAAAAAACTTTTGGGTGTTATATAGCTTACTTAAGATAAACCTATTTAAGCATACTTTTATTTTACTCTTAAGGAAATGACCTTGAACTTTGAAATTTTCAGTAGGAGAAGGAAAGTTTTTTTTAGTAGCTTAAACTTGTACAGTACTCATTTTTCATAATTTTCTTTAATATAAAAAAAATAATAAAAATCAAAGCAATCAAAAATTATAACTATCACACATTGTCTGAAGCTCTGAAAAATGGCTCTTAATGATTCTTTCCTTAAAAACAAAACAAAAAATTAAAGAAAATACAAATAAGACAAAATAGTAATTTTCCGACAAATTTCTTTTGAGGAACTAAATAAATCATTAGCGATACGTTATAGACATTAACCTAGGAGACGCGATAAGTTTGTTAGCAGCAGCTGACGAGAACTTTTAAGGACAATTTATCTCGAAGCATTTCTAAATCTTTCCTTTATTTATTCATTATTTTTTGAACTAAAATGCATAATTGATATTCAAAAAATAAATTTATGGTGTTAAAAGTAACTTTTTAAATAAAACTTTCGATGTAATATTTTATGAAACTAGTATTTCCATGTTTAATAAATATACTGCGGTTGCTGCCGCCCATTTTATAGGAGCAGCTTTTGCTTTTAAATTACTAACTTTTATATTGCCGTCTGCAATATTATTGTACTATTCAAATTTGGCCAGTTTTGTTATTTACGTTTGCTTGGCTTGGTTTTCATTTTCAATCACAAAAAAATTTATTTTAAACGATAGACTACCTCCTCATAACAAGGCAGTTTTAATTACAGGTAAGTTTATTTTGTTTAATAAATTTTTGTATAATTTTTTGAATATTTCAGAAAATTTTAACACAATTATTGCAATAATGTTTTTAGTCATATTTAAATAAATCTAATATACTTTAATTGCGTGATATATTTTTTAATGTTACTTCAGTATTTTTTTTTAAATGATGAATCTATGGTAGAGGGACAATTAGAAATTATAATAATGTACAGATTTTTTTCTTCAACGAATATGAATAAATTATTTTAATATATTCAGATTTGTTACTAACGTTTCTCACATAGATACTTACTTACATATTACTTTTTGTCAAATTTACACAAATTAACTACACGATTTCAAGCGTCACATGAGTGAAATAATAATGAAATTACCCAAAATTAGAAATAAAAAGTTATCAACAAGATTAATGACGAGAATTTAAAATTCAATCAATCTAATTTTATCATTATGTCAGAAAAATTTTCATTTACTATTTTACGTTTCGTCCTAAGAATTATCGTTATGAAAAAAACTACACTAAATATACTAAAATGGTGTACAATTATGATGCTCCCAAAAAATAAATAGATCACTCTGAATAACTTTTAATCTAATGATCGAATCTTCACGTTCTAGGACTCATTCTTAATAGTTCGAGGGGTGACTTCGAATATAGTAATTAATTATTGCAAACAATACTTTAAATTACGAAATCTGGCACAAAAACGTACTTTCTGTGAATAAACATACCTTTTTGTAACGGAATCAGATTTCTGATAGTCAAAATATGGGGAGTAGCAGCAATCTGGGAAATGTGGTCCTCATAGTTAGGTCAGAACAGCGGTACAAAGTTTGAACCCTTTAATGTAAATTTTACTTTTTGTGTATTTCGATTTATCTTCAAAACTTTTTACGTAAATTGAAAATTTTTTCCACACATTTATAAAATTTGGTTTTCCAAAAGTACAATGAAAAAAAACCTTTTGGCAAATACTTATTATTTTTTATTATTTAATTTAATATCACTCGTCGAAAAAATTTTGAATTGTAAGGTACACAATTTTCTTGAGTTATTTTAAAGTATGTAATTTTATTTGGAAAAATACAAAATATGACCGAAATCGCTTGAATAGTTTATGAATTTTAAAGAAGTTCAATATTTTAAATTTGATTTCTCAAGAACTATTCGACCACTTCAGCTCAAATTTTGTATTTTGCTATGTAAAATTATACACTTTAAAATTACGTAAAAAATTGTATACTTTACAATTCGAAATTTTTTCGACTATTATGATATAAAATAATAATAATTAATAAATACGTATTAAAATAAATTTTTTTGCGAAGAATTATTTTTGGATAAACGAATTTTATAATTTTGTGCAAAAATTTTACAATTCGCTTAAGAAAATCTCGAGATATGGCGAAATACGTAGAAAGTAAAATTATCATTAAAGGGTCCAAACTTTATACTCCTCTCTTGACCAAACTATAGGGCAGTATTTCCCACATTGCGGCTACCTCTTTAATTTGGGGGTCAGAAATCGGAATCTGTCGAAAAAAAGTGTGTTTATTCTGAGAAAGAATATTTTTGTGTCTGATTTCGTAACTTAAAATATCGTCTGCGCTAAGTAATTAGCCTATCTGAAGTCGCCCTCTCGAACTATTAAGATTAAGTCTTAAAAAGTGAAGATGCGATTATTAGATCGAAAGTTATTCAGGGTGGTCCGTTTTCTTAGCTCTCTGTACTATAATACTCTGTACATTAGTAATATTAGTGCATTTTTTAATATTAAAATATTTAAGGAAACTTAAAAATATATTAAAATCACTATGTTGTTGAAACAATAATGTTCATGTATTAAAAATAGTGAAAATATTTTTTTTTTTGAATTCACTTTTTTTTCTTCTAATTATCTACTCAAAATTCTTTTACTTATTTCTTTTAAATCTCGGATTTCAACAAAACATTTAAAAAAAAAATGAATCCAACGTAAAAATATTTGAAATTTTATTCAAAGCTTTTTCTCATTATTATTAAATTTGACAAAAGTAACTTTATTATTTAGTTAATGAAATGATTTTGAAATTATCTAGTTTTGCATGAAATTTTCTTCGTGGAAATGATTTGTGAACAAAATTTTATGTTGAAACTTTACAATCGTGAAATTAGAATAGAGTATGTACTAAAAGAAAAGGTAAAAGTCTTATTACAGGAATCGAGAACATTTCCTATATTTTGCTTAAATTATTTATGTCGTACTTCAAAAGATTTCGAACCCACAGTTTAAAAAACTGTGGGGTCGAAACTTGTTTAAAATATACATATTTTTTAATTTTTTAAAAAAAGCTTGTATTTGTGCAAAACTTTATTTTTAAATTGAGTATTTACTTAATTACCAGCTGACTGAAATTTAAAAAAAAATCTATAAAATTTTTTATATTCAAACACAAAAATATAGCATTGTTCAGATGGAAGAGAAAGAAACTCAAATAAATAATTTCAAGAAACTAAAGTGGTAAAATATTACTGTATTAAAAGCTTCATTGGCTCAAAAATATACAATTAATAACAGTTCGACAAGCTTCAAGCCCTCAAAAAACAGGCGCCCATTGTTAAGTCTTGCCAGACATGAACGAAAAGAAACTAAAATAGTTTGAAAATTGAGTCTTTTTTCGTCTACTTCACTTTTGTTTCTTCAAATTCACATCTTGAAAGTCTTGGAAATGAGTGCCTGTTTTTAAGCCCTTGAAACATATCGACTGTAATTTGTATATGTTTGAAGCGAATGTAGTTTTTAATCAGATAATAGAACAAAACTTATTTTAAAGGAACAATAAGGGGTGAGACGCGAATTTATGGAATACAGCATAAAAATCAAACTCATCGAAAAAATAGAAAGTTTAAAAAGCATTTGTAAGTTCCTTTTCAGAAGAAAATAATAATTATAAAATTATAAGATATATTAACATATGTCAGTCATATGTATAGTGTTATGAATGTTAATAGGTTTGGAAAGTCACAGATAATTAAGTTTTTTCCGGAAATATAGAAATGAAATAGTTTCTCTACAAGATTTTTCTCTTTTCAGTTCTGGTAAACATACCTTCAGCTCTGTTGAGTATATTCGAAAACAGTTAATAGAAAATCTCAATAACTGAATAATTCTCATAATTTATTGATACAAGTTCTTTGCTATATTCCTTGTAAATAGAATAAGTGAGTCAATATGATAGGATTTTCTCACTCTCCACACTTTTCCCCACTCTGTTACCATGGTTACGGAAAATAATGCTTTTCCCCCCACGGCAGTACGTTTTAGTCGGAAGCAGGGGAAAAACAAGAATTATGGATACCATGGTAACGGAGATTGAATTGTATTAAGTATTGAGTTAATAAATGAGGATTGATTGAATTAAGTATTGAGAGTACAGAACTCAGGAAACGTTGAGAAGTCTATTCGATTTACAAAGGGTATGAACTAGTCAGTATTGTAATTTGCTTTATTCTGCATATTTATATATTTGCTTTTCATAATGCTGACATCTTAACCAAGCTGTATTTTAATCACATTTATAAATTTATTTAAATAATATTATGGTTTCATTACAGGCTGTGATAGCGGCTTTGGCCACAATCTCGCCAAAAGGTTAGATTCGAAAGGTTTTCATGTCTTCGCTACCTGTCTTTTTCCATCAGGAGATGGTGCAAATGAGTTGAGAAAGTCGTGCTCTGACCGCCTTAAAATTCTTGAGCTTGATGTTAGAAAAGATGAGAGCGTTGATAAAGCAGTACAATTTTTAAAGCAAAACCTTGGTTCCTGCGGTAATGCTAAAATGCTATTGATATTACTAATAGATGTAATGCACTGACCACCCATAATAAATATTTTTTGAACGCATATCAAATATTCATCGAAAAATGTATACACATCAGGAGTTGCAATTTCATATTTAAGCGAGAACGAAAAAACAACGTTATCAAAATCTGCCTAATCACCAAAGAGAAAGACATCAAAACCAGTTTTATTGTCTGGTGGAACTTGAAAATGTTTCTGCATAACTCTGTTTCCGTCAATAGAATAAGTCTTTCAATAGAATACACAGTAGAATAAATCTTTCATGATTTGGTTGATTTCGGTAGCGGTTCGGTTCGGTTTGTTCCTTCCTCACTTAGATATTAATTTGAAATCGCTGTACGTATTTTTTAGACCTTAATTGTGAAAATTAATCTGAAAGTATATATTAGGAGTGGTCATTACAGATCACCCTGCATTTCTGTTTACGACTTAAAATAAAGATATAAACATAGATAAAAAATGTGTGATTTAATTTTCATATTTTTAATTGTTTACCATCTTCATTCTAAAGTTAACATGCAAATATTCTTCTTTTAAATCGGGAATTCGCTTTAAAATCCTGGACTGGAGAATAGTGGTTTTTATGATCCCTGATGTATATGGAATGCTTCGAGCAATAAAATGATAAAGCCAAAGTCTGTCTAAAGGTGATAGTTTCACTTCAAACTGGTTTTTCGGTATTGTTTCTAGTTAGGTAGTTAAATTTTCGAAACATCCATTCAATAAGGGGACAATACACAAAAATTCATTATTACCAATATGAAAGTCGGAAAACTTTACTCCAAAACCATTTTCCTGAATAATTTGAAATTGTGGCTTATCACTGTGTTTTCCAAAGCCTCCATGTATACAGAGTGATTATAATTAAAGTGACATTTTTTCTTTCTTTCGCTAAACCAATTACCATTGCTTCACACATAATCCAATAAAATATCTGGTCAGTGGTTCATTTCTTACATCCTTATGAAAATGAATCCATAGAATTTTTATCTACAAGGTAAATTCCATTTGCCTTGTAGATAAAAATTCTATGTTTAAGTTCTTTTTTCTTTCTATTTTTAATAAAATTTTATTATAACACAGGGAGCAAGATATTTTCATGTCACTGATTTCAAATTCATAATTGGTTTATCTTTCCAAGCTACAATTTTCTTAAATGACATTTTTATTCTTTTTTTTTTGTCAAAATAAACAAGTTTAGAAATGTTATACATAATTGAAGGTTGCGTAAATGTTGCGACAAACTTCTAGGGCAGTTAGGGCACATAATTTAAAACTGCATAGAAACCCTTGCTCGGAAATATCATCGCTAGGGGTGCTCCTATATTGTGAACTACGTGCACTTATGAACAGGTCAAAGTAGGGAAAAGCCTCTAAGCACGTACGACATTTCGAGGGTATGGTTTCCTATGCAATTTGAACTCTAATGATGCGCCTTATTTCCCATAGACGTTTGTCACAACATTTATGCAACGCCTCGTTAATTACAACGTTTTTAAACTTACACTTCGACAAAAAATAAGCCCTCCAACAAAAAATTTCCTTTAAAAAAATCCGTAGCTTTAGGAGTAAAACTTATTTCAGATTTGTAATCCCCACGCATGAATTCTGCAAGATCAAGTATTTATATAAATGCAAATAAAAAATTTGTTCCTCTGTGTAACGTGTGAAATTTTTTCCCCCTCCTATTTTATTTATATAGTATAATGTGCTTATTGATTTTGTTTGTAGAATTATGGGCTCTGGTTAACAATGCTGGTATCGGAAAAACATTCTGTGTTGAGCTCAGTCCGTTATCTGACTTTCAAGAGTGTATGGATGTAAATCTTTTCGGTGTAATAAGGACAACAAAAGCGTTTTTACCTTTTTTGAAGAAGTCTAAAGGAAGGATAGTAAATATTACAAGTATAGCAGGTAATTAATACTTCTATTAGCATTAAAGGTCCCTCAATTTTATAGATTTTCAATTGAGCAATTCATATTATATTGACTTTAAAATTTATTATTAAATCAGATCTAATGCCCTGATTTTGATGACATGAGTAATTTTTTTTTGTATCTTTTGACGTTTTTTACTTTTTAGGGCATTTTTTAAAAATTTTTCTTTTACATTTTTAAGGCTCTTTTTTGGTGTTTTTAGAATATTATTTTTTTTTTTTCATTTTAATTATTCTGATCTTTAACGATATTCGAAGTTTTCATGGTTATTAAAATTTATGTAGAGAAGGAAAATGTTCAGGAATCAATATTTTGTTATTTTTATTACATTTATTTCAAATTTCAATGGACATTGAAGATGCATAGCATTGTTTTATATGTTTTGACTTGAATGAAAATAATTATGAAGGGAATAAAATTATTTTTGTTTAATATTTTTAATTAAGAAATAGGTATTTTTAAAGACATTTTTGCATTTTTAAGGGCATTTATAAGGATTTATTAAAACATCAAAATCCGAGCTTTAAGGACGATCTCAATCACTTTACCAGGGTGTCGATTCCACAATATTTTTAAGTAGTATAAAAAGTTAAAGAAAATATAAATAGTTTGAAATATTGATATGCGACAAGAAATACTATCAATTCAATGGAAATGTCGGTGGAAAAACGTAGTAAATAGTCTTGCAAAACTAACGTTAAAAATTAAACTTCTAAAATTTTCAATAGTTGTCCTGTTAAAATATTTAGTCCCCAGCATTTATTTTTGTCAGATCTTAGTATTATGTGTATTGTTTATTTTAATGCAAAGTACTAAGCTTAAAGATTTATAATAGCTTTTAATCTTTATATTTTAAATTTACTTTGTATTGAAGTATGCAAAACCTATTTCATCTTTTTTTCAGACATTATCTGTATTTCAATTATTTAAAAACATTTTAAAATAAATTCAGTTTCAATTTTTATTATTCTAATAATAATTATAATTACTTACTAAGGCTCTTCACGCAACTTGGCTCATAAGGCATTAAGCCTACCTCTCTATGCTTCCCGGTGTTTGGTTTGGGATCAGGCTCTTTAATCATTTGAATTTTTTTTCTTTCAAAATCCACTTTCATTTATTGCTGCCGAGTCACTCTTGGTCATCCCATTTTTTTTCTCACCATCAGGGGCTTGTCATTATCTGCTTTGCATCTTTTGAGCTCGTGTGTATTTTGTTGTATTTTATTATCCATAACTTGGAAACCAATTTATTACAATCCTCTTTCCATTTTCAACAATATCCATCCATAAAATGTAACAATTTTAAGCATATTTTTACATTTACTCATCATAGTCTTTACAATTTTAGGAACAACAGCAGGTCCTCACGTAGCTCCTTACTTTGTCAGTAAATTTGCTGTGGTTGGATTAACATATGTTTTAATGCAAGAACTAACTGAATGGGGAGTAACTGTCATTTCAATTGAGCCAGAAATGTTTAGGTAAATTTACTGCTATTATTATTTGTAATGAACAGTACGTTTGTTATTGTTTTCAGATGGAGGGTACTGAAATCCGCATAAGTAAGTTTGCTTAAAAAAGTTTAAGTTTACATTTTAAGTACAAGCATATTCTTTAATTAAAAAATAGCGACAAGAGACTATGCGCTTAACACATTTTTAGTTTATTTACCATGCATGGAGCTGGTTTTAAAATAAAACTCTATTAGATACTGTGTTTGTACATTTATTTTATGATTTTGAACATTTATTAAAGTAATAGTACATAGTGTAACAATAGTTTTATGAAAAATATATTAATGTTGAAATATAAATGCCTTAATATTAATGAAATAATAAGTAATTATAAGTAAATAGAAATAATAAGTAAATTAACTGCGGATTTATTGTTTCTTAATCAATGCCTGGTGTATTTTTTTTTGCAAGGTTCGTTATATTGGTTTCAATATTGGTTAATTTTAATCTTAAAGCCCCTCGAAACTCCACATTTAATTTATTTCTGTTCTTAGTTAAGATTGAATTTACGGGACTGAAACCGGCTTCAATTATATAGGAATTTGGAAATGCTATCATAAATGGCTGAGCTATTTCGTAAAGTTCTACATATTTTTGCATTATATTTAACTTGCATTATATTTATATTTGTCCAAAATTTGCTTATTGTTAAATTTTTAAAAAGCGTCTTTGCTTCAAATCCCCATAATAATTCAGCAAGCTCATCTTGCAGGTTGATGTCCACGTTTTCAATTTGAGCAGAAAATGGCACAATAATCCAATCAGGGATGTCAATGTTTTCCAAATCAACAAAACGCAGTTTAAAATCGTCGCTCAATTTTTGAAGATTACCTGTATATATTTCCAAGTCTTCTTCTTTTATTTCTAATTGTCACATACCTGAAAAATACTGATAATCCTTTGACCAATTGACCCTTCCGGTTCGGATCGACCCCCTGGCTCAGATCGACCCCCGCTTATGTTAAATAGACCCCTGGGGGTCTATATAGACCACTTTGGCGACATCTGCTTTAGAGTAACATAGTTTATTTACCATGCATGGAGCTGGTTCTAAAATTAAACACAGAAATACAAAAATTTCTTCCCGATTCCCTGATCATTCTTTAGAGTAACGTAGTTTATTTATCATGCATGGAGCTGGTTTTAAAATTAAACACAGAAATACAAAANACATCACTGGCAATCCCATACCAACTCGAATGAGAAAATCTTGCTTGTCCCAATTAATTCGAACACTATAGTAGTTTATTTATCATGCATGGAGCTGGTTTTAAAATTAAACACAGAAATACAAAAATTTTTTCTCGATTCCCTGATCATTCCTTAGAGTAACATAGTTTATTTACCATGCATGGAGTTGGTTTGGTAACCACATTTGGTAACTCCCAACAGCTCCTTTGGTATAACTCCAGCTACTTTAAATGCGAATGAGCATCCGGTGAACAATTATTTTTTTAAGTTAACGTGACTGCTATTTTTAATGAAAAACATAGAGTGCCGTGATGGCAGTAGATACCTTTGTATGAAAGGTTATACACACTATACAGATTAAAGATTAGTCGGATACAGTACATGAGGACTTTGCACCATCATTTGCATCATTGGGACAGCCAAAAACTGAAATCACCAAAATCGTCTTGATAAAGACATATGAGTCAAAACTACAGTAAGAGTAGAGGCTATGAGCTTTTTCAAAGAGCATGATGGCTATTTATTTAATCGAGATTTAGGTGCACGAAAGCTGGTTGCACGTCAGGAGTCGTGTTTGCTTCTGAATGATTCAAACTGTTTTTGAATGAAATTAACATTTGCATTACTTTGTCGGCACAAATCAAGAGCAAAAAAATGCGTTTTCGTTACCATTAATCACTGTGGATAGAACCTGGATGCATCACTAAAGCCCAGAAACAAAATCATAGTAGAAATAGTGAACCACAAAGGGAGAATGAAAAAAGATGAAAACGAATAATTGTACTGGAAAAGTGATGGCGGCAGTTTTCTGGGATAGCAGCGGAATTTTTTTTTAAAACAGGTATGCAACATACTTTACAAATCTTTCGAATTTCGAATCGATCTTATTTTTACAAATCGATCTTATTTTTATTTTTATAGTAGTAATAAAATTTTCCTATTCACATTTTATTCCTGTTTAAATAATTGTAATTTACGAGGAATTTGACTACCATTACATTTAAATAATTTAAATTTAGATGTTATAGGTCTGATAGTACTGTAAAAGTGTATACTCCCAGGGAGAGGAAATGACTATTAAGATGATCCTCGACCAGAGAGTAGTCCACCCCAATCAAAAGCCATGCCAAATTTTATTTTTATGATATTTTGCTCACAGTCAGATCACTCTCAAAATCACACTAGCTATTGATATTCCTGAGGAAATGGAAATGACTATTAAGATTATCCTCGACTCAGGAGTATACCACCCCAACAGCCAAATTATTTATTTACGATATTCCTTTAAGTACCAACAGCCCCCAGATAGTCCACCATCAGCTACCTCAAATATACTATCCTTAACTAACGGATACTTCTAGGGAGAGGAAATGACTATTAAGATGATCCTTGACTTGGGAGTATACCATTCACCAGATTACACTAGTTCCCTAGTCGTTCCGTAAGCCGCCAATTAGGGTAAACCAACCAGTGAAGGAACACTACCCAGTAAAGGAACATGTCATATATATTGATTAAAAATAAGAATTTCTTTAGATTGATTGATAATAATAGCTTACTGCCAAACAATAGGAAGTCATCTAGCAATGTTTCGGATTACCTGGTCAAATAGACTTCTTTGGAAAATTTTTTGAATTTGTTATAATCTCTGCAATACTTTGCTTCCTTGAAAAAATTATAAGGTGAGTGCTTGTATTTATGTGTTTGAAGTGGAATTAATTGCATGTAATAGTTTTATTTTTCTCACTGTGAAAAAGAGAATTCAAAATATAGTTAGTGAAGTTGCGTTTTATTTTTTTAAAGCATCATAGCATAATAAAGTACTGAGATAAGGGGGTGTTTATTCACTGGATCACCAAACGATGAAAAACCAGTGAAGGAACAAGTGTTCCTTTACTGGGTTTTTTTCTAAGTTAATGAAAATAAAAGATAAACTTTAATTTTCTTGTACCTTTAGTGATGTTCCGCATCAAAAGTATGTTAAAAATACGAAAAACAACTTCTAACCAGTGAGGGAACAGGCATGTTCCTTTACTGGGCATAGATTTCCCAGTGAATGAACAGTATGTGCTAATATGTTGACACTTTAATTTTCAATTCATGATTACAAAAAAAAATTAACATTTTTCAAGTATTTATATGTAATATTTTGAAGAATAGGCTTGTTTTTAAATATTTGTATGGCTTATAAATTCATAAAGAGCATTAAAAAATAACCAAAATTAAGTATTCCTTTACTGGGTGTTCATTCACTGGTAAGAGCTGCTCCTTCACTTGGTCTTCTTACTACTTGTTATTTGAACCTCCAAAATTTTAAAACAACATTATGTAAGTTCTCTACAATTTTTTTCACATAATTTGCAGTTAGTAACAAATCTGTTGACACTGTCATTTAACAAAAATTACGAATTTTGAAATTAATATGATTTTTTAAAAGGCAAGCGAAGCTTAAGTTTTCCTTCACTGGTTAGTTTACCCTACCCAATCACCTCCTCATGCCTAACGCCAAAAATCTTAGTCATCCAAGGGCTAATTAGTCAGATGAAGAAGTCAGATCCCCTTATCGTGGGCAGGAACTCCGCATAATCATAGATCAAGTCAAAACTTTGAAAGTGTTTCAAGTGTTGGCTAATACCATTTAATAGTCCAGAATAATCCGAAATACAAGTTAATAATCTCAATTTATCTAACATTTCTCTACAATAAAGAAAAATACTTTTTTATAAGCGTGAAAGTTGTTAGGTACGAGGCTATCTTGAGTGGGGAATGACTGTTACCGGCGCTTACTCTGCGTCGAAGTTACATAACAAATCAAATTATGAAATTGCGAAAAAACTGTCACATTTACAAAAGAAAAAAGGTTATTTCATACCACTATGTTCTCCTTTACACCCAAGAGGTTGCGTTGGCAGAAATGTAAGAGTTGCTATTTAAAGTGCTTGACTAACCTCCTTACTCACCAATGGCTATTTTTTGTTCGAATAGCTAAAATAGTACTTGAAGAACAAGAATATTTGTCAATAGAGGGAATTATGAACTTCGTTCTTAACTATTTTGCAGAAAAATATTCCACAGATTATTTAAATTAATTAAAAGATTGCAAAACGCTAGGGAAAATATATAAACTTAGATGGAGACTATGTCAAAAAATAAAAGTAATTTCGGGAACTTTTCAAATAGCCATCCCATATATCGACGACAAAAATCAAACAAATAAAAAATGGTATGTATTAAGCCAACAAAGCTGTGTATTTAGGGGTTAAATTATCGTATAATGGATGTTCCTTAATCTCAGAAATTCATATATATTTGAAGGATCTCTGTCTGAAGTGAAATAAAATAATTTATACATTTGTAGTACCAAAATTAGCAGGTAAGCGAGCAAAAATCAAAAATGTTATTAAAAACCAAGGTATCCCTACTGTGGAAAGCAAAACTAAAAACAACAAAGCCTATTTGATTTCAGGAGAAAGGGTAATAATTAGAAACAACGCCAAGTTCGGTCTACTAATAGAGCAAATTTTATTGTTTTTCATCACATCTTTCAACCTAGTGATTCAATAGATTTCGATAATCTTTTTCTTTTTTCGCATTTAATACTGACTAACTATCAATAATACAAACACCACCTTTATGGAGTTTTTAAAATACCTATTGAGGGTGATGATTACAGAACAACCGATTCAATAGCAATTTAAGTTGCTGTATGAAAAGAATGAAATGGACGTAGAAAAGATCATCTAGCATGATTTACGTTTACAAAATGTTTTTCATTGAGTTGTTTATTTCAATATTTCTAAAACAACATGATTTCATTCGCAATTTAAGTTGCGGTATGAAAGTAATAAAATGAACATTTTTCTTAAATTTCCAATGCAGCAGGCGATACAGACATTATCCTAACGCTGTACAGAGATCAAAAGAAAAGAGAAATACAAATACAGAAAGAGATGAAATATACAAAAGACAAAACATCAAACACAAAAATTAAATCAAGAATTTAAATTGAACAAAAGGTCTCTGGCTTCCCAGTATCGGGAGTAGATACAGTTCTTTGCGAGAACTGAACAGTTGAGGAGATGCTCAGCAATCATCGTCGCACCACTGCGGCAGAGGGGCGGCAGGATTATCCACTACTTTAAGATGGGAAAGATGAGCGTATAAGCAATCGTGCTTGGTAGCAAGACGAAAGGCAGCTACAGCACTGCTTCTTGGGCAATAGGGGAGAAGGATGTCATTTCTCCACGATTTTTCTATTGACCGTTCTTTTAGCAATGGTATATGTGTTGTCTTAATTGCATGATTAATCATTAATGAAGTGGACTTATAGCTAACCAAGTTATTTGGGGCTTGATTAACAAAGCAACCTTTTTTGGCCAGTGCATCCGCTTTTTCGTTGCCGGGGATACCACAGTGGGATGGGATCCATTGTAAATAAAATGAACATAGAAAAGTCATTTTCAGTCATTGTTTTTGTTAAAATTTTTTTGAATTTTGTTTGCATATATGCTGTTTCTTTATTACAGGACTGGATTAACAGACGTGAATAGATTAACTGCTGATGCAAATCCAGAAAAATTTAGTGAAGAATTGAAGAACTCATATGATGAACAATATTTAGAAAATTACAGAAAATCAGCCACTATATTGTTAAAAGCAGCATCTTCAAATATTGGAGCTGTAATTGATGATTTGGAGTCTGCAGTAACCTTGCTATATCCTGAATCAATCTATTGTCCAAGGAGACATGAATTGTTCCGGATTCCCTTGTTTATATTTGTATCATTCCCACTGTCCATTCAAGCATTTATTGTTAGATGTGTTTTGTTTCTTTTAAGATATAAAAAACCAAAATGTGCTCAATAACACATTCCTTTGATAAAAAAAAATATGTAATTTTTTCGGGAAATAAAAGCTTAAACAATTTTTTAAGTATTATAATAACAATTGTCTTATTTTATAGAATAAAATTAACTAATTTGTCTTCAAGAGTGGTCATACCATTGTTTGCTTTTCTATCATATCCCGTGATTGCTTTTAATTTATCTTTGCTTTTTGGTGACAAACAGGCCATTACTTCAAAGTTAAAAATTATTCAATTAAAAGATCCCTAAACTTTTTATTATATTAACACTGCTCGATAGATTTAGCTTCCACTGAGATAAAACGTAAGCCTTAGTTTGCACGGAATTTAATCAACCAACTTGTTTCTTAAATTATTATTTAGTTTTAGCTCCTTTAAAAAAAATTTCATTTTGCTTTGTGTGCACAGGAGAAGCGTGTCTAGAAGTAAAATAAAGGGCCCTGGTGTAAAGTTTATTTTTTTAATTTAATTTGTAAACACTGTTAGACTATCTTAGGTGATAGATGCCTCATACGGTGTGAGGTCGTGTACTGGTAATGTCGATGTTGTAGCCATTGTTAGTTGCTCCCTTGTCTTAAGGTCTGAGGCCTGTAGTCTTAGTTACTGAGGCTTGTTTATACGATCCAAATTCATGTGCCAAGATTGATTGAAATTGATGGAAACGTGTTTTGCTTGGAGCTTGTATCGTGTAAATCATCATCCAAGTTCTTGGTCCCAGCCCTTGTATGATAGAAGAGCATGTTCTATATTCCACCCAAGTTTTTCCTCCTTTAACCAATCAGCTTCTAAAGTTTTGTGACGTCAGCATGCAGGCATCTGATTATGTCAATTTGCTATCTGTTTTCATACATTTTAATCCAAATAAATTAATCTGTTAGGGTCTATTTGTGTTGTTATGATTTTATTTGAATTTATTTTGTAATTTTCAATCCGTGTAAGCATGATTTTATAATGTTGAATATGAATGATGCGCAGATTTTTCATCCGACCAATCAGTGACATTCAAGAACTTGAATAGCGTCGACGAATCATCCAATTTCTTGGAGAGAGAAATCCTCTCAAGTCCTCGGATTCAAGAACTTGGTCCGTATAAATAAGCCTTTGTTGTACTTCACAGCATTGTTTTTACAAGCTTTAAATTGATTTTTTTTAGGAATTAGTCAATTAGAATTTACACCTTTTTTTATTGTAATTAAGCTGAAAATTTCTCATTTCCTAGCTTAGAATGAAAATTCAATTGATCCAGCTTTTATCTAGAACATATCTGATTATTATAACGGCCAGAATAAGTTCATGATTAAAATATTTATTACTTGACATCAGAAAAGGTGCACTCAAAGGTGTAGAGCAACGGTTCTCAATTTTTTTTACTGTTACGGAGCTCTTAATGATCGAACATCATTTGGCGGAACCCCATACACATAAATTAAACTTATTAACAGCCGTGAACACATTGATCAAACAAATACTACCAATTATTTTGATAATATGTAATGTGAATAACGAAATTTTTTTCAACAATCGTTTAATCTATAAAACTCTTACAATAATAGCTTGTTTTTGTTGCCTACATTAGCTGAAGATGAAAAAAATAAAGTGGATTATGGCTTTCGAAAAAAAAAATTCTTATTAACTTTGAGTATAGTGATCAAAGAAGCATAATTCTTGCATTTGGTCATTTTATTTTGAAAAGTACAATGAGAAAAACTGATCCGATTTTTTTACTGGCATTTCTTTTTTTACTGGCATTTCTTTTTTTACTGGCATTTTACGTAAGTAGTTTAATAAAAATAATCAAACTATCAAATAAATTATGTTTTGATATAAATATAATTACAAGTTTCAAATATTATTTCTGAATTAAAAAATTAAAATTTTTGGAACCCATGCGACCCTTCTTTGGAACTCCAAGGTTCCTTTTGGGAACCGTTGGTGTAGAAGCAACAATATCAATTCGATATTGAATACAAAATTGGAAACCATCATTTTTATTATATATTTTAAGAATCCTTGTCAAAGGCGAAGTTAAAAAAGCATGCACAATAGGGGTCACAAATTAATATTTAAGAGAAGAAAAACGAGAATTATGTTGTTTACATTCAGACAACCAACCATATGATATGATTCAACAGAATATATATTCTTTCATTCGACTTTCGTCTTTTGAATAAGAAATTGAAATAGAATTGAATATTCCTTTTTACGAAGTAGATGGGAGATAAACTCTCATTCTATTTTGGTATTGTATTCTAGCGCGTGTATTCTCCAAACGTCTGACGATTAAGGTGATGAAAATATATAGTTTGCTGTGTTCAGCTTAGAAAACTAGAGAATTTATTCTCATCAAGTTTCAAAATTAGTTAAAAAGTTCATCAAAAGATGGTGCGATAACTAAGAAAAGCAAAAAAAGCAATGTTTTTAAAATGACCGCCATTTTTAGCAATGACATAGGGCACACAGAGTGCAAAATTAACAGCAGCTAGTGCAAATATTTAATTTCGAAAGGTCAGCAATGCAATTAAAAACAATACAAATATTTTTCTTACTGAGTGATGCCTTCTATTGACAGTTATTATTTTTTAAAACTAGTTTTATAGTTTTGTTTGAATAACTGATCTGCTAATCTGGTTTTGTAAGAAGAGCACAGTTAGGAATTCTTACGTTTTTCTTAATTAGCTTTTGCTTTTTATTTTTGAGCAATCAGTAAGTTAAATATAAACGTGTATTCAATTGTATTTTTTTAATGAAGCCATAATACTAATAATGTAAATAAATAGAAATCGGAGCAAAAAATAAATGATAACATTGTAAATAAACAATAATATTGAAAAAAAATTAGTATTTTAAAATAAACAATAAAATTACAAAATAAACAATAATGTTGTAAAATAAACAACAATCAGCACAAAGACAAATGTAGCAATAGAATGACCCGGAAGTATAGGGAATAATAAATGGCTACGCCTTTTCTGCAGAAAACTTCATTTTATGCAATAATTGTGATTAGCGCAATCAAGATAATTGACTACACTTATCAGTACTACTACACTTATTATTTGTGTTTTTATAATAATGATAAAAACAGTAGATCAGAAAATTTTCGATTGATCTATTAACTTATACTTGAAGGAGGTAAGTTCAGCGAACTAATTTCAGTTGTACGACGCAACCAGGAAAAATAATAAAGTACACGTATCAACTAATTATATTTTGGTTCTTTGTGTTTATAATAATGATAAAAACGGTAGATTAGAAAACTTTCGATTGATCCATGAACTTGAAAATTAAACTTGAAAAAAAAGTTCAACTCACTGAGTTATTTTAAGTTGCAGTTCTTATCTTTTATTAGCTATCGGCAAACTAGTTATCAAGACATATTCGCTTAGATTAGAATTAAATATGATATAAATGATAACACAAAAGACCTTCGATCAAACCTTTATTTCTAAAATTAGATAAGAGCTTGATACAAGTTAAAGTTTTCTAAACATTATTTATTTTCTTGTAGAATTTTCACCACTTTGAATGATTTTCTTTAATATGTATAGAATTTGAAAGTTATTATTTTATTTTAAACTAAATTTTCTTTATAAAGTATGAATTCTAATTACGTACTTGTTGTCGTCGTACATTTTATTTGTACATTTCTTGTCCTTCGTACTCTTTTTCATGTCGGCCCAAGTTTTATAATTGAGTCCATTAACTGTGGAATGACATTAGCTTCTGTAGCTCTCATTGGATGGCTCACCTTTCGATTTACCAAAACAAAATGGTTAAATGATCGAGTTCAGCCGGATGGAAAAGCTGCTCTAATCACAGGTAATTTCAATTTTATTGCTAAAATCGTATAGAAATCTTCATGGTGACACAATTTAAAGCTAAGAAGAACAGAGAAGAAAGATACGTCACTTCAGTTTTGAAAGTTTACAGTGAGCCGTAAAAGAAAGAATAACTTTTGCTCGAATGATCGTATTTTCACGTACTGAATAATAAACAAAATCAGACACAAAATAGTAATTTTTCTGACTAAACATATGTTTTTTTTTTTNAAAAAAATTTTTTTTTTTTTTTTTTTTTTTTTTTTTTTTTTTTTTTTGCAGATCTAAATTCTTGTAGAAAAATCTGGTCACAATAGTTTTATCCGGAGAGTGGTTGGAAGTTTAGATAAATTATACCAACAAAAATAATAAAAATTAATACATTTCACCAGCGGTTTCAATGTTTTTCGGCAGTGGAACCCAAAATGATCGACTTTATTTCAGCGGAACCCGAACTTTAACAAATAAATTTCATTAGCATTTACGAGCACATAAATTAACGAAAGACTATTAATTATTTCGAAAATTAAATGATGATCTAAGTTATCATTTATCTATTTATGATCTAAATATGATCTATTTATAATCTAAATTTTATTAATTGAAAATATTTAGTAATTAAATGAAAATTTAAATTTTTTTCTCATGTTGTTTTACCAATGCAAGTTTTAAAATTGTACTTTGTGTCAGACAGTTGAATTTACAGGTCTGTAGTGCCATCTTGCCTGGTTCTTAATTTGATTCTAGCGCATGCATAAATTGAAAATAAAGGGACTGAAATATGGTTTTTATTAAAATGAAAACGAAGAAGGAAGAAAATAAACGTTGAAAATGGTTATCAGAAAAACATACCTCTTCGTTGCTGAATTTAGTTATTTTTATTCAATGCAAAATACTGGTGAAATTTTTCATAAATCCATATATCTTCATAATTCATTCATTATATTGTTATTTGAAAAAGTATTGTTTTTTAATTTCTTTCCTTACAAGCATTTCAATTGAATAATTTCATAAAAATTACCGAAATATTAAATAAATAATGGATTTTAATTGGATATAAATTTAATTATAGGTTTCGAAAATCATAGCTGGTAGAAAGGTATCATAACTCTCGGAACTTCTGCGACCCTTTCGTAATAGCCTAGGGTTCCACGGAACTCCGTCTGGGAACCGCTGTTAATTTAACCTTTTAAGTATTTCTACATATCATGGAAAATTTTTAAGTGAAATAAAAACTTTTGCACTCAATCAGAAAACTCATTTATCCTTAATTGATTCTGTGAAATTTTTTTTTCTTAATATTTGTCTTTATTATTTAATTTAATAATGTACGAAAGAATTTTGACTTGTAAGACATGCAAAATCTTACACAACTTTTTATATTACCTTCAATGATGCATCAATTCATCAACCAAAGGGCTCAAACGAATTGATGTATTATTGTACTGATGCATTATTATATGATTAGTTTGAAGGTCAACATATCTAGTCTATACTTATACGTTGAGATCTCTATTGATTGATATGAGTCGTAGAAATTAGAAGAAAAAAAACTTTAACTTGATTTTAGCTGAATTGACGACGAAGCTGGATTGACTCTAAGTTATTCTCAGTTCTATTAATGGCAGATTAATGCCTTAACCATCGTGCTATCATGGTTCATGGTTAAGGTACGATAGTTATCTCATTAAATATGCATAATCTCAGAAATAATCAATGAGATTATCATGATACCAGTTTTTAAATGCGGTATGGGGAAAAAGGTATTTTCAGTTTAAGAATTATAATAATAATATGTAACCTTTTTTTACACACTTAAATAACTTGATTAAATAGGATGCTCCAAATTTTTTTAGGGTATTTTTCAAACACTTAGTTATTAAAATAAAAGAAATATTCTTGAAAATATTTTTGTAGATTGAAAATACCACTTCAAGGATATTAAAACTCATCAAAAAATGTCATCAATGTTTTATTTTAGGTTGTGATCGAGGATTTGGTCAGGCACTTGCTATTCGCTTAGATTCCCTAGGTTACCATGTATTTGCAAGTTGTCTTTCACCATCTGATCCAGGAGTTCAGAATTTCAAGAATAAATGTTCCAGTCGTCTGCACGTTTTAGAAATGGATGTTACGAAGGAAAACAGTGTTCAGGCTGCTTTAGAATTCGTTAAGGAAAACCTGAGTACTTCAGGCAAGTAAATGTACACATTCTTCTTTTTATTGCTACCTGAATACACGATTTTTGTATGTAAGTAATCAATAAATTTTCATCAATTAACATAACCCAATCATTCAGAAAACTATAAGGCATGTACCAAAACTATTAAAAAACTAAAAATAATTATTTTTTGTCCTTTCTGAAGATTTTACATTATTCAAAGTATGGTATCCAAATAGTATACTTTCATAAGTCTGTCATAAAAAATGATTTAAGATTATGTTTCTATTGGCAAGTAAATAAGGATAGTAATTTATTTAGAAGAGTTTTGCTTAAAAAAAAAGCAATCTCTCTGTCGTATTTTCTTCTACCTCGTTAATCCGTCACTTTCATTTCGTTTTTCCTTTCAGAGCTTTGGGCCGTCGTCAACAACGCTGGTATTTTTAAAGGACTTCCTGTTGAAATAGCTCCATTGCAAGATTTTAAAACTTGTCTTGAAGTTAATACTTATGGTCCATTAAGAGTTACCAAAGCATTTTTACCTTTGTTGAGAAAGTCGAAAGGCAGAGTTATAAATTTGACAAGTATTGGTGGTAAGTATGATTGTTTTTTCTAGGAGTTCATTTATTTGAAAATGATTTTAAAATATTGAAAAGAAATTTACTTTCTTCTTTTAATTTTTTAACAAACTGGCTTTGGTTGATAGAGTTCCTCCCTTCTCAAAATTACCTCTTTATTGATTCTGACACAAAAGTAAGTCTCTTAAAAAGAGCCAATGGATTATTTATGCTAAAATATAGTAAAATGCGTTTCTTAAAACTTGTTTTTAATTGCGAGGCTTGATGCCCCAACCAGGTAAGTAAAAAAATTTTATTATAGTCTTAAATGCTTTTTTTTTTTTTTTTTTTTTTTTTTTTTTNTTTAAATTTTTTTTTTTTTTTTTTTTTTTTTTTTACCTTGGACAATCTAACTGTTTCGATTCTGGTAAAAACTAAGCGAGCTCAAATGTAACATTTCTGCATGATAAACAGATACAAATACCATTGTTCCTTTTTTTTAAAATTCCACTTGGTTTTCGCTTGCAATTTGTCAATCAGGACTTTGAGAACCTACACATTTTTTCATAATTTTGAACTTTGATTAAGGATTTAAATCTCTAGTGTTTTCTTTGCATTAAGGTGGGGACCAAACATCGTTACATACTTTTGCAAATTTTTTATAGCATTCTGAGAATAATTTTTTTCTTTTACTATTAGGCAACTTTACTGATAATTTAATGCACTGTTCTTTTTTACATTATAAATTTTAATCTTAGATTTAGAGTTTTTTTTAAAATTCATTCACGCGGATTTATATTTCAGTTTTAAATGTGAAATTTTTCTGATAATCTTAAATAAAAGGTTTGAAACTATTAAAAAAAAGTAGTAGATTTAAAAGTAAAATTGAAAAATGTTCCAGCAGTTTCTCAAAAAAAAATGACGTCGAGGTTGAGTGTTTTTAAATGGATTGGATAGGAACAGTAAAATCTTCTTTCTTTTACCATCAGCAAATCAGCCTAGTACAGACCAGAGCAGTCCCAACTTGTTGTCCTCATCTGGCTCGATCGATCAGACACTCTCCAGTAAAACCTCCTTAATTAATTTTAATTGAAATCCGTAAAAATTTGCCAGGCTCGCTTGTTGCTTCGTCTCACATCTTGCTTTAAGTTAAATGGATTGCTCTTTAAGAAGAGACCCTATAAAATGTTATCTGAGGTAGAGGAATGGTCCATTGCAGTCGGAATAGTTGTCGGGAAAGGTATTGAGGCTATACTTAGCATTTAACCCAAATACAGGCTATTTTAATTCAAAAGAGAAGTTTTATATTTTCTAGTTCGATTTAAAATTACAAACAGAAGGGGTATGAGTTTTTAGTCTGATATCCCCCTTTGGCTTGAGCAGAAAAAAAACTTTCGGGCGTCGACTGCTTTATCAGAAATCAGAGATTTATAAACTTTTTAATTTATTTACAAAATGATTTTCTTTTTTAATTATTGTCTGATTCACTAATTAATTGTTTCGCCAAGACACCAATTGTTCCATTCATCAATTCATTAGTTCTTGGATAACACTGATTCACTAATACTTTAGTTTATTGATTCTATTCCTTTCTTTCCTCGCTTTTTTTCTTCCCACGCTAAATGTAGCAAGAATCTTTCATAATAAAAAAGTTCCAGCAATAATAATAAAAATACGCTAACTGACAATACCTTAAGAGGACGCTTTTTATGGCAAACTTTTTTTCACCTCCATTGGTTATTTTGTATCTAAAATTAAGAGGAAAGTGAGTTCAGATAAATTTAGAAAATAACACAAAGTTTCAAATGAAGGAAAATGTTTTCAAAATATGAAAATACTAAAAAATCATTGCAGGATTACTTCCACGTTGCGTAATCCTTCCAGAATATGTTTGCATTTTGATGCTTTGAAAAACACTTTTCAGCATTTGGTTTCATCTAGGTTTACGTCAACTTAATTTTCTCTAAACTCGAAAATATAAATTCAGGGGAAACAGAATTTGACATGAAATGTTTCACCTACTATATAAGGTCCTCTTAATATGTTGATACCCTCTTTCCAAGATTAGAGTATTTAATCTTGTATTTAATGTAGTTAGATAGTTATATGAGATGCGTCTAACAAGCTGTGATTGGCTATGAGTCAAAATTCAACCAAAAAAAAAACAGAACAAAATGCATGAAGAGAATGCATGATATTACATGCTAAATAAGCTATGAATCTATTGATAAAACTTCAGTTCTTTTGCTTAAATGTTATTTCTAGCATTTTGAAAATGAGCTAAAGATACAGTTACATTTTCATATCTAAGGAACTGAACAACCCGTATAATAATTTGTTAAAACTTGGTGCGATTTCGTGTCTTTTGGCTGGGAATAAAATGAAAAGTAACACATTGATAAATACTGTTGTTATAGAAACAAAGAAACTTCTTTAAAGGATATTGTTCATTAATTTTACAATTTTAGTTGAATGGATACCTGCAAGCAACGTCATCATTGGTAAATCGTGGCATTTGTCAATTCAGAAGGCGGTCAGATTATATCAATAAAATTTAAATAATAATGTGAAACCAAAATGAAACGGAAAGGTTTTTATACTGTAAAAGAAAGCGAGATTTAAGGAAAACTACGCCTAATATTATAACCGACACCTCTACCTTTTATTCTTTCGAATCTCCGATTTTGTACAATTTCGAAGCTGCTGGTCGTAACTCTCTACATTCGTTAGGTACCAATAGTTTACTCCAAACTAACGAAATTTATTAAATTTATTATAAAATGTAATGTGAGCGAATGTGATAATTTTTAGCTCTTACTTTGCAGGCAGAATATCACTACCTGGATTAACACCTTACACAGTGAGTAAATTTGCAACAGTAGGGTTCAACGACTGTTTAAGACAAGAAATGGATGTCTGGGGTGTTTCTGTTATATCTGTGGAACCGGAAATATTTCAGTAAGTGCAGGATTTGTATTGATATTTAATAAACTGAAGAAGTCTAAAAATTCAAGGAAGATTTTAATTTTGAGTCATTTTGTGCACAAAAAAAAAATTGATGAAAGGCAATAGGACAGCTGATGGTTAAGGTATATTAAAAATAGAGCTTTTTATTGTAATAGAATATATTTGAACAATGTTGGGTCATTCTCTGGTCGCGTAATTACTCATTTTGTCGAACAAAATTGGCCGTCCAAATCATGCGAATCAACACCATACGATTATCTGTCTTTGTTTTTCTTCTTCGGTTTTGATGTCTAAAATTTAGGTTGGCAAAAACTAACCATCCATACATTGAAGAAAAATATAGAGCACTATATTAACGAAATTTAGCCACATTTATTTAAAACGGCTATTGAAAGTTCAAAAAAAATATTACGTTTGTGCCAGAAAAGCGAAAAGGCAGTTTACCAGACAAGTTATTTCATAATAACCGTAATGTACAGTGCCTTCATTATACTGTATACTTTCGATCTTGTTGTCATTTTATGTTATATAATGATAAAATTTAAATCTATATTAATGAAAAATCGTGACTTTCAGTTATGTAGAAGTTACTTTTTGCATGAATTTTGAAACACTCTTTACTAACGGACAGATCCAGTCCACAAAAATTTTTGGCCATTGTTGTGGTCGGCCATTAAGGCAGAGGGAGTACTATTGTTCCTTTTTTCCAGTGGTGCCCTCTATGGCCAAGAATTCGTATTCTGCCACACCCATACGTCACACCTGTTTACAGGGCGGACCCATTCATGCATCTATTCATTCATCCACAGACGGTAATTTTGACCTGAATCAGAGAACGATGAAACTCCAATTCAATACCCCATGTTATAGGAACATGGAGGGCTTTGTGACCCGAGGCATTTAACGTGCACCAGTCACCATTTAATACACGGGGAGTCCTGACTCCCCATGCTGGACTCCCGTTCGTGAGAACGGTAGTCCAGCGCCCTGCTAACCAGGCTGTCCCGGCCGGTAAAATTTTTACCTATTTGTTATTTTAGTAAAGTGTTCTTCGATTTATTTTCCCAATGTATTAGTAATGACCTTACCGTTGATGTAATGTTAAATCAAAGTTAATTACTAATTAATCGCCTTTAGTATGTTTGCAAATTATTTAAAAAATGCACTTAGTTTTTTTGGGGAACACTAAATACACAAATATACATTTAGGTGGGAATTGTACTTATTGCTGTTTGGATAATATTTCGTTGATGCTCTTTTTTTAATATCCAAGGAAATTACTAAGATCATTCACTGACAGGGATATAAAATTTTTTAATAATAGCCTGCGTTGAAGCTAGTTTTCAAACTATTAGACCTTCCATCTTCTATAAAGAAACTTTTGATTAAAAGACATTCTTTTCACTTGGTAAGGGAATACTTAGACCTCCAAATTGTAAATGATTTAAGGGGAAAAAATTCTTTCGATTAATGAAATTCTTTGAAATCGATATAGTATTTTTAAAATGTTACTTTAAATTGAATATATAAGATAGCTTATTTAAAGCGTCTTCATGCATAAGTGAAGACAAAATACATATTATTACACGATAAAATTTACAAAAAGCAAATAACAGTAGACATGTTTCCAGGGCTTCATAAATAGATGCTTTCTTTCAAGGCTTTCCCAGATGTGAATAAGAAGAAAGAAAAGTGATTTGAAATAAAAAACAAACGTAAAAATGCCTACCAAAAGATTAAAATTAAAGGTGAGAAACTGAACTAGAAGACTAGAAGCTTTAAAAGCATGTCGGCAGTTATTTGCTATTTACGTATTTTTGAAGCGAATGAAGTTTTTGATCACGTAAAATCTTACTACTTCAGTTTCATGTGATTATTCGTTTAACCTATTCATAATACTTACTTAACACATAATTTATTAAACGATAGAATTTCGTTTGATATTTTGCCAAAAAATTTAAAAACAATCAGAATTTAATATGGTATACAAAATTAAATACAAGATGGTTTTTCTAATTTTACGTAGCACAAAAGTTCTTTAAACCTACACAAATAAAATTACAACATCCGCAAGACATTGGAACATGAAGAAAGTTAACGGAACTTTTCAAAGAAGAAATTCAATTGATAAAAATCAGTTTTATCAACTTTGAAAAAGTGCATTTATTGAAGAAATTTATCATTTAAGCAATCTTCTTACAGAAATTTCATTCGTTAAATGTATTTTAGTTTCTCTGCATTATAAGCACTTGCAAGGAAAAACAACTTTTAATGAGATACGTGTGTTTGATGAAGAAATCCGTCATTACGTAATTTTCCCATAGCAAATTCAGCGCCAAAATGTATTTTAGTTTCATTGCATTATGAGTAATTGGAAGGAAAAACAACTTTTACAGAGACAAGTGTGTTTGATGAAGAAATCCGTCATTGCGTAATTTTCCCATAGCAAATTCATCGCCAAAATATATTTTAGTTTCACTGCATTATAAGTAATTGGAAGGAAAAACAACTTTTACAGAGGCAAGTGTGTTTGATGAACAAATCCGTCATTACGTAATTTTCCCATAGCAAATTCATCGCCAAAATGTATTTTAGTTTCACTGCATTATAAGTAATTGGAAGGAAAAACAACTTTTACAGAAACAAGTGTGTTTGATGAAGAAATCCGTCATTACGTAATTTTCCCATAGAAAATTCATCGCCAAAATTTATTTTAGTTTCACTGCATTATAAGTAATTGGAAGGAAAAACAACTTTTACAGAGATACGTGTGTTTGATGAAGAAATCCGTCATTACGTAATTTTCCCATAGCAAATTCATCGCCAAAATGTATTTTAGTTTCACTGCATTATAAGTACTTGGAAGGAAAAGCGACTTTTACAGGGATTGATGAAGAAATCCGTCATTCAGTAATTTTTCCACAGCAAAGTCTAATATATTTTAGTTTTGCTGCATTTTCGTAGAGCATTGTTTTGGACAAAGTTTAAATTATGCGTTTAAGAAAATGGACATAGCTTGACTTAAAATTCATGTACTGCATTTTCCTTTTTAAGATATTTCAGTGATAAAATGAGGTTAGTAATGCAAATTAGCAAATTTACAGAAGGCAATGTGGCATTTATTGTGTAATTTTCCCCCTTTTAATTTTAATAAATGTTGTTTTATAATAACTATGTACACAATCCAAAATTCGTAGGGAAATATTTTGTTTAGGACTATGTTTAAATTGTACATTTAAGAGAATGAGCATAGCTGAATAAGAAATGGATATAAATAAAAATTGCATTTGAGAATAGACAAATTGGGTTATATTTGACGTCATTGTAATGCAACGTTTGAGGCAAGATTGAAATAAGACAAACTTACCTTTAAAACCTTTATGCTAATATTATTTAATTTTTTTTTTGCTTTTCATATTACTACTAATTATACACTGAGGAAATTATAAGCATTACATTTATCCTTGCTTCTTAACTTCCTTCATTTCCTAAATTTAATCATTCCTAATCCCTTTTTAAATATCAGTTAATTAATTTTAATTAAATTTTATAAAGAGTGAATGCAAATATTTCTATTCTCATTAAAAATAGTAATGGCTAACTTTTTATTCCAATTGCAAGGGTATAACAAGTTATTATTCAGTGCCACAACAACTGAGTATCAAAATCTGTTTTTAACCTTTCTCTCTTCAACCACATTATATGGTTCATTTTAATTTGAAACGAACTTTTTGACCTTAGATCTTCGACCGAGTTATTTAAATATTAAGATGAGATATCGTGAGGTTGGCTGAATTGGCTTTGCTTTTGGCATTGTTCCTATAATAGATCTGTCCTGTACTCTAAAATCATAGATTAAATAACTGATCTTATTCATAGTATGCAAAATTTATGATTTTAATTGAAATGTCACTTGCAGGTAGATAACAATATTCTTTTTATTTAGCATCTAGATATCTATCAACTACCACTTATTTCCTATTACATATATTTTACGCAGTATTAAATACATTATTTTACTTTTGTCTTTTTCCAGCTATTTTTTATTACTTATAAATATCAGAAAATATTTTAATTGTATTTTTTCTTCATTACAGAACTGCCATGGCAGATCCAAAGCTATTTTTCAAGCACATCGAAGAGAATTTGAGTAATTTAGATAAAACCGTTAAAGACGATTATGGAGATGAATATTTTAAATCCATAAGAAAGTTAACAAGAATCGTCCTTGATCTTGCTTCACCTAAAATTGAAAAAGTAGTCGACGATTTGGAGTCTGCAATTACGCTTGAATATCCAGATCGGGTGTACACGCCTTGTAGAAATTTATTATTTAAATTTTTGCTGTCCGTTCACAAAGTTTTGACTCTGGTTGTACAAGACACTATCATAAAAGTCTTTACATTCTTTTTCTTATTTAAACACTTGAAACCAGGAACAATATAGCTGAATTGAATTTTTATGCTTACAAAATAATATTTAGCCTCCTTTAAATAAACAAATATAAAAAAAATACATGATTTAAATACAGTGAAGTTTAAAACATATATTTCATACAATTTAAATAGCAGAAATAATTTTTTAAGACAGATATACTTCATAAATAATTCAAGTTGTCTGTAGAACTATATCATTGTTAAGTATAAGAAAAAACGTCATAATGCTAGTGAAAATCAACTCTTCAATCGTTGATCAAAATTTTATTGAAGTTCTCCAGCTACTGCTAGGTCATTTCTATATCGAACATGTAATTTTAGTGAACGAATATTTGTTTAAAACTTTGGCTATCTTATACAATAAACAACAAGAAAACACAAGTTAGACAAATAGTAAGAAAGTAGACGGGATATTCCTATGTCTTGCAGTAGAAAAGCATATAGCGTCCTCTACTACTGTAGAAATCACTATACAACTTTGCTTGAGATACTCTAAAATTTAAATTACTAAGTACTGTTAATAATAAGTTATTAACAGATATTTGTAATTTGAACACATGAAATTAAATTAATCTTTATCACTAATATTTTTCATACTAAAAACCACCCCAACATTGTCGGTCAAGTTGGTCATAGAGGTTAAAATCTATAAATGTGAGACCAGTGGCATAAATGCATTTTTTAAACAGTGACGATATTTAAAGGGGTATCCTATATTGTTATTATATGCATGTATGATACATAAATATAATGTATGCATCACATATACATGCTTCTAAACATAGGCAGCTTCAATATCCTCTTATGCTTTGTACATTGAAAATAAAATATTTTGAGATGTTTAATGTTTTTTTCTTTCTTTTAAGATTGTTTCTTTCTTCTTTGTGTCAAAGTGTAAGAAATTGCAAACAAAGAAGTGCACATTTTTAAGCGTTTTTACATCTAGTATTAATATTAACAGTAACAATAATTCATATTAAATCATTGATTCTTTGCAACAGTTTTTCATTCCATCGCAAACTATTTTCAAGACAAAAACAACAACTCTTCAGTTTTCCATCATATGGTGGAAATCTCATTAGGCAATACATACTCGTAGTCACTTTTCTATACCTATACACCACTGTTATAACAAGAACTGAAACTGTTTGAAAGATATAGAGAACTGATACAGACTTTATTACACACACTGTGTATATAAATATACACATAAGTGTAAGAGATAAAAATTACCTTATATAAAACATAGAATTCAAACAAAACATCTAAATGTAGAAAAGTTTATTAAAGTGTAAAGTACAGAAATAACTTATATCAAGTACAAAACAAAAACACATTAATAGGACTAGAATAATAGAATACATTGTCTACATAATTCAAACTAAGAACATCAAGTTCAATCTAGTAAAATTTGATTCAATTACATCTAAATATAAATCAAAAAAATATTGTATACAATTGTAAATACTAGTAAAAAATGACTAGAATATTTACTATATTCTACTATCATAGAAAAATGATTTAAATAAAAAAAATCTAACTACACCTTTATGTAAGAAAAAATTCTCTCAACGTAAATAAAAATGTAAAAGTGTACAACTATATTTCGAAAAATGACAATAAATTCATATCACATTTGTAAATAAAATAGTTTGCTGAATGTATAAATATAAGCCAAATAATGAAATGTAGGAATTCTACAGAAATACACTCAACTTAAAGAATACTAGTTTTTAGGCATTGTAAGTAATAATTCAATTAATTTCATACTATGTCTAAAGGTGAATATTTCTTTATATATTTGCTTTATATATAGTACTATATATTATTTTTTATATAAATAACAGCATTTTTCTTTCATTTTCTCCCAAGATATTGTATATAATACCAAATGCACTGAAAACAATGTATGAAATAAAAGCATTGATAATGTTTTTATTGAAAAATTTGCCTTACACAAATCGGTGTATTCTATAAGTAAAGTGATAAAAGAAAGTTTCTAAAACAGAATTGGAAAAATTCACAAAACTTAATCGCAAACTTTTTAATTTTCAGTTGTTTTAAATATTTTAAACAAAAAAACTAAATTTTGGAGGATTCTTTTTTTCCCCTGCAGAAACTAGGTATTTACGAAGTCAATTTAACTTGAGTCCATTCAAGGAAGACATGAAATTTATAAAAACTCAAGCTGTTTTAATTATAATAATTGTCAGGAAAAAGAATGAAAGTTGGTGAGAAATTTAAGTCAACTCATTCATGTTTTTATTACTTTGTCGGTCCATTATTCTACCTTTACAGTAAAACTATTTAATTCTTAGTAAAATGGTATTTTGTATAATTATGACTTAGTTTGGATACTTCGCACTTTGCTGAAATTTACTAGGCATTTCATAAAATATCAGAAGATAAAAAAAATGCGCATACAAATTTTAAACGCATAAAAAAATATATATACAAATCTCTTTGAATTAATTGAAATTTTGATGATAAATATGATAAATGCAGATTATTTTGCAAAATTAAGGATATTCAGAAATCATGTTAATACAAATCATATAAAAGATGATCATAAAGTATCAGATTAAAAATAATAATGGTTAAAATAAAATTCTATTTGGTAAATGATGAAGAAGAGCATCAAAAATGATCTTTTTCTATTATCGCTACAGCTCTGAAAAGGAACACAAGAAAAAGTGGCACAAGAAATTTAAAAAAACAAGATTGTTTTTATTTATGCATCACCTTTAAAATTTTGAGAAAATACGAAATTGGAGTATTAACAAAATTTTTTAGAATCCCATTGTTCGGATTGTAAGGTTGAAAAATTATAGGAAAAAGTTTTACTGGTGATTTTTTTAATAATAAATATTATTATTGAAAACATGCTGGGAATTGAAAAATTTTTTAATAAAATAAATTATCTGAAACTTAATGAGTATGTGGTAGGTAACTCTCTTAAATTTTACTGAGTTGAATTAACAATTTAACTTTTCGATAAACAAATCAGTGACATTCATTGGTTAAATAACCTGTTGCTTAATTAATAGAAAACTATAAATAGAATCAAAATGTTTGAATTCCTTCCTATGGATGTTTAATCCTATGGATTTAAGTGGATACCTTTTAAGCATTTCGAACATTTCAAATATTGTAAAACATAAATTAGCTGAAAGCCATAAAACTTCGCATTTTTAAATTTAAAAATTACATAAAACAAATAAATATTTTGTAAATTTACATTTTGATTATTAAATATAAATAATTTATTTAGTGTAGTGCAGCAAACTTTTATGTATCTTTTCCTATCAGTTCCTTTATTTCAGTAACAGTCTCTTTTTACAAAAACTAATCAATTTTATCTTATTCTATTTTATAACCGTCGTTGAACAGCCGACCCAATTTTATGGGTTTACGACTACTAATGTTCAACTCCGTAGCCTTGTAATTTTGAACCCAATCCAGAAGACAAGGGAACTCCTGGATCGAGTATTGAGAGAAATTTTGCCTTAGTGGAGGACTTTTTGAGGGAGCTAACCTGCATTTGCGTTACATGGAGAAGAAGAGCACGGGAACCTCCCACGGTTAGCCTGATGGCACGGGGACTTTAACCCATGATCCGTCTACCACTGAGGATATTTCACGTCAGCACTGTGGTCGATGCAAACCGAATTTTAAATTGAGGGGGGGGGGTATGTAGAGGATAAACTATTTCATTAATTGTGCTAAATTATTTCTTTTATGATTCGCGAAGTATTGTTAGAGATGAGCTTTTTGAAAAAATGAGTTCAAATCTTTAAAAAATTTTAATTTTTTTAACTATATTGATGTATATTAAATTGTAAAAAATATAAAAAATGTCAATATTGAGACTCAAACAAAAACATATTACAGCGGACCATAGAGTTTAAATAGCAAGGTTAAAGAATTCAAAAAAAGTTAAAAGATTATAATTCATAATGATTTAGCTTTAGGCTGCTTACTAGGGTCTTAGTTTTTGCTTCATCAAAGGAAAACAAATGGCCAATATGAAAATTATATAAATCATCATTAAAAAAATACACATGCTTTATAACATTTATAAAATAACAAGCATTTTTCCGAATTTGAATTTTTAAAGAAGTTAGCTGCCAACTAATATAAGATTTCACTCTTGAAACTACTGATCATGCCTGAAATAATCTACTACCCTACGCCTGAGCTCAAGAATTTGCACTTTGTATGATTTGCGAATGATACTAAGTAAACTTGGTTTCTAGTAAAACGAATGGTTATTATTTACTCACTCATTTCATTAGTTTATTAAAAAAAAATAATTTAAAATATTAAAAGAAAGGAAAATTTAGGTTTATAATACCTCAAATTAAACAAGAGTAACAATTGTTACAGTTTTTAACTCTGATATTCTTCTCATGAGATAACTTCTTTTGCAGACGATTTTGTCCGTTTTTTATTATTAGTTAAAGCCTGCTTACGCATTCCAGTAAATTTTGCACTCTATATTTGAAATTTTTTGACTCTGACATTCTTCTCATGAGATAACTTCTTTTGCAGACGATTTTGTCCATTTTTTATTATTAATTAAAGCCAGCTTACGCATTCTTGTAAATTTTGCATTTTATATTTGAAATTTTTTAACTCTGACATTCTTTTCATGAGATAACTTCTTTTGCAGACGATTTTGTCCGTTTTTTATTATTAGTTAAAGCCAGCTTACGCATTCTTGTACATTTTGCATTTTATATTTGAAATTTTTTAACTCTGACATTCTCCTCATGAGATAACTTCTTTTGCAGACGATTTTGTCCGTTTTTTATTATTAGTTAAAGTCAGCTTACTCATTCTCGTAATTTTTGCATTTTATATTTAAAATTTTTTAACTCTGACATTCTCCTCATGAGATAACTTCTTTTGCAGACGATTTTGTCTATTTTTTATTATTAGTTAAAGCCAGCTTACGCATTCTTGTAAATTTTACATTTTATATTTGAAATTTTTTAACTCTGACATTCTTCTCATGAGATAACTTCTTTTGCAGACGATTTTGTCCGTTTTTTATTATTAGTTTAAGCCAGCTTACGCATTCTTGTAATTTTTGCATTTGAAATTTGAAATTTTAAAGTCGAATGACATGCATGAAATGATCCCTAGTCCAAAGAATCAAAGTTAGTTGCAAGGCCGATTGTATCGAAAGGAATTAACTACCTCGTTGCAATGAAACAACTATCAATGAATTATTAGCGAAAATATATGAATGAAATTTTACTCTATCCTCGCGTAAATCAAGTCCTCGTAAGTTAATCACATTCAAAGATAAATCGCCCCATTTACATATTTCTTCATTGTCACCAAATTTTTTTTTTGAAAACAATTAATTTTAATTTTTCGCGGCTTCTACCAAATAAAAACTGTTGAAACTTTAGATTTTGATATCGAAAAATACGTAAATTAATACGATATGAAAAATTTATATCTCATAATTCAGAATTTTTTCATCCACAATGAAAATAAATAATAAAGAATAATAAATATTTATTAAAAATTAGTTTTTGCATGAAATTATTTTTGGGTAAATGGGTCTTATAAGGAGTGCAATTTTCTTTGAATTGCTTAATTAGTTTTAAAAATATGACTAAACACGCAAAAAGTGAAATTAACATTAAGGGGTCCGAACTTTGGACCGCTCTCCTGACCAAACTATGGAGACCATATTTCCCAGATTGCGGTTACCCCCTATATTTTGAAGGTTAAGAATTCAAATATGTTAAAAAAAATTAATTATTCAGAGAAAGTAAGTTTTTGTGTCTGATTTCGTAATTTAATTAATAGTTAGCACTAATTAATTAGCATATTTGAGTTCACTGCCAGGAACCATTAAGATTGACACTTAGTTCGTGAAAATCCGATCATTAGAATGAAAGTTATTCAGGGTGGAAATCTTTTTTTTTTTTTTTTTTGCCAACTGTACAGTTCCTTTCTTCATACTGTATACTTTCAATCTCGACCATTAGAACGAAAGTTATTCAGGGTGATATCTTTTTTTTGCGGATTGTGCATGAGTTTATATGCATAAATATGTACATACATCTTATGAATAAAAAAGTCTTTACTCGCACATACAATGCTCGTACATACCTACATTTGTACTATGAATGTACTTTCGTGTAAAAATGCACGTAAATGCACAAATATATATATTGCCTCTACATACGTACATATAAAAATACATACATGTTTACATGTATATTATATTCAAAATTATGTACGTATAATGTATGTACGAAAAGCGTTTGTGCATATTTTGTATTCAAATCCGTACATTCATACATATATCTTATATGCATACGTACTTACATACGCGTACATTCATGCGTACAAATATTGAATGAGTTTAAAATATATCTATGCATGAGCAATTGTACGTATGCTACATATACATATGCACATCTACATACATACGAACTTACATGCATTGCTCGTACATTATTAAATTGTATTTATGTTCTACGTTCATTCTATGTACAGAAAAATATGTTAACACATACAAACATACATACATAATGCATACAAACTCAATAAGCATATAGTATGCAATAGTAATTGCTTGTAATCGTATGTTTTAATTACATGTATTCGCAATTACTCGCAATCACCATTGCATGTAATCATAATTACATGTAATCATATATTTTGATTACTCAATCATAATCACATATAATCTTATTCGTGTAACAATAGTAAACTAAACAATTCATTTACATATACAATTTATGCATTGTTTTAAAAGTATTCAATTGCCTACAATCCCTATTACAATGTAATCAAATCCACTTGAAAATATGATTACATCTACTTGTGTTGTAATCATATAAATCACAATTTCTTGAATTAAAATTTCCTGTATCTGTCAGATTATGATAACTTGTAATTATGATTTCTTACTATGATTCTATTAGTCTTACTTTATAATTACAAGCAGTCACGATAGCTTGCAATCCCAGGGCTTGATTATTTGTAATTCTGAATATCTGTAATCACTTTTTGTTGTGATTATAAATAATCATAACCGCTTGCAATAAGAAATAATAATTATTTGTTACTGTGAATACTTGTAATCATGATTATTGCAAGTAGTTGAATATTATCTAAAATTAATTACATTTGTAATCGGTAACTGTAATTGACGATCAACTTGCAGTGAAAATGGCATAATGCTTGCATTTTTCGTTGGTTATTCAAAATTCTATTCAGAAAAATCAGTCATGACTAATGAATTTATTCATCAATCATTATTCAAAACTTTGCATAAATTTGTGTTATGAATGATGAGTAATGACTAAATTTGCATTCAGAATAAATTTATTCTGAATAAATTTGGTCTTGAAAAAAATTTCCTTTAATGATGCCCATAATTGTTTATTTCATTTTTTTTAGCTTTTATTAGCTATCGGCAATTCCCTCAGATTAGAAATAAATATGATATAAATGATAACAGAAAAGACCTTTGATCAAATCTTTATTTCCAAAATTAGATAAGACCTCGATACAAGTTAACGTTTTCTAAACATTATTTATTTTCTTGTAGAATTTTTTACCTTTTGAATAATTTTCTTTAATATGTATAAAATTTGGAAGTTATTTCTTACTTCAAATTAAATTTTCTTTATAAAGTATGAATTCTAATTACGTATTTGTTGTCGTCGTACACTTTATTTGTACATTTGTTGTCCTTCGTACGATTTTTCATGTCTGCCCAAGTTTTTTAATTGAGTCCATTAACTGTGGAATGACATTAGCTTCTGCAGCTCTCATCGGATGGTTCACCTTTCGATTTACCAAAACAAAATGGTTAAATGATCGAGTTCTGCCGGATGGAAAAGCTGTTCTAATCACAGGTAATTTCAATTTTATTTCTAAAATCGTATAAAAATCTTCATGTTGACCCAACTTGAAGCAAAGAAGAAGAGAGAAGAAAGATGCGTCACTTCAGTTTGGAAAATTTACAGTGAGCCGAATAAGAAAGAATAACTTTTGTTCAAATGATCGTATTTTCACTTACTAAATAAGTAACAAAATCAAACGCAAAAAAGTAATTTTTTTTGCTAACATTTCTCTTTTTGAAGTTATACTTCTTATGCGACTTCCAACAAGGTTGCGTTAAACGTTTAACGCTACATTTTTATTGGCCGGGAAATCACGTGGTAGGATCCAGTTTTCCCTCATTCATTTCCATATTGTTTTGGTTCTCACTAGCATAAAAA